CTAGCCTAGGAAATCAAGCAATTCATGCATGCATATGATTATCCTATGCTAGAAATAGCATGATAAAGTAGAGGCAAGCAAGCATAGCTGGCATAAGCCGTCGTACTCTCACAGAAAGCACATCGGCTGAACGGTAACAGGTTTAAGCGCATGCATCGCAGAGTGATTCTTACCTTCCATTCTTCGCTTAGTAACCCTCCTGTTTTGATCTCTCAGCATCATCCCTGAAAGCCACCACGCTAGTCCTCCCCCTCCTGCAAGACCCCACTCTGGCATTTATCTCAACTGGATGCAGCAGGGAGGAGTGGTTGTGCACGCAAAGTGGTTGCAACAAAGCGCACGGGAAGTGTTTCATGTTAGCGAAAGCCCACATTACCTCAGCGGCTCACCTCATCAACCCGGAGATACCGGGAACCGCCACCAAGGCATCCCTCGACAAGCTCCAGCTGGCTGCCGTCAAGAAGCAGTATGCAATCTGAACAGGAGAATCCTCACAGCGGTAGGAGTGTCTCTGGTAGTCAGCGTGGTCATTTCTTTTACCTTTCTCGGCCTGTGGATGCATAGGGGCTGCAAGTCAGTGGTTAAATGATTAACAAGAAGAATATCATCACCTGTGCGGGCCTCAATGTCAACGGCCTGGGAGACAAAATTAAGCAAGACAGAGTAATCACTTGGCTGAAAGACGCGGCAGACATAACAGTACTATCAGACACTAGACTAGCGAACACCCATACCTTCTGGACCTCAACAAGTTTTACCACAGTAGCAGCCGCCTCTCCTAGTGCGAAAGCAGGCGGTGTCGCAATCATTAGCAAGAACCCCACTCTACGTTTCTCAGACATTAAACCACACCCTTCCGGCAGAATCATTAGCACAGTAGTTGATGGTCCAGGCATCCAACTTACCCTGGTTGCAGCTTACTTCCCATCAAGCCCCACAGCCAGAACACCTTTCATACTTAACACTCTCGGATCGATAGTAGATCAGATTCCGCCAGGCTCCAACCTGCTCATCATAGGTGACCTTAACATAATAGAGGACCCCGCCTTAGATAAGACCTCGGGACTAGGAACCTCTTGAGAAAACGACAGACTCTATAATCGCTGCACGGTTTTCCAACTTTCAGACGCTTACCGCACACTTTACCCTAGAGACCGAGAATACACCTTCTATTCCACCGCCCAGAGAGAAAGATCCAGGATCGACAAAGCCTTACTATCCATGTCTCTCTTACCATACTTAGTTGATTCTGCACACGTTTCACCAAAAGAACAGATATCAGACCACGGCTTCGCAATACAGCTTACCCTCAAGGTAGACGACAGAGCTCGACTTGGCCCAGGTATCTGGAGACTAGACGCAGCTCTCTCAAACAGGCCGGGAGTAAGACGGATCATAGAAGAGACGCTAAGTGATCTGACAGTCACGGACGGACGGAGTTACTAGTTACTGATCACCAGACTCAACACACGCTTCGCGGTTATACAAGGCAAGAGCACCAGAGACTGAGGTCCACTTTCACCCACCTAGTATCAGCCGTAGAAGCCTTAAAGCAGGAAGCCATGGGAAACTCGAAATGTGACAGGCTGAGATTGCTTTTTACGCAAATAGAAGCGATGCTGAAGGAATACCTTGCATGGAGGCAGGAACGCAAACATCTGATGGCCGGGCTGGACATCGAGCTTACCAGTGAGATCTCATTGAAGCAGTTATCGTAGCAGATTAAGGCAAGGAAGAGTCGCACACGGATTGCGGAGGTGAATGTGTCGGGGAGAATAGTGTCTGACTCACAGAGTGTACTTGCCGCTGCTTCAGACTACTTCAAAGACATCTTTGGAAGGGACAGACGGACAGACTTCACGACGTGGAATCCGAACCCAAACAGGCTACTGCAGCCTAGCGACGCGGAGAAACTCGCTGCATACCAGACGGAAGGTGAAGTCAAAGAGGCCTTCGCTGCTCTGGCAAAAAATAAATCGCCCGGACATGACGGACTGCCGAAGGAGTTTTTTGAAACAAACTGGGATCTTCTCGGCAGGAGTTTCATGGTGCTGGTCAGAGATTTCACGGCCTTTGCAACGCTTCCCGGGGAAGTCAAGGAAGCGGTGACTATCCTCCTGCACAAAAAAGGCGACAGAGATTAGCTATGTAACTACCGTCCGATAACCCTGCTCAGCTTCACATACAAGATATTGGCCAAAGTATTGGCGGACCGACTAAAAAAAGTGTTGCACCAGGTGATTTCACTGGAGAAGTATGGTTTCATCCATGGGAGAAGACTCACCGATGCGGTTGCTCTGGTAGCGAACATTATCGACGCAGCAAAAAGGAAATGAAGACTGGTATCTACTGCTCGTCGACTTCCAGAAAGCCTTCGGCTCAGTATCGCGGGGCTTCATTTTCCACGTACTGGAGCGCATGGGCTTTCCGGCGAAGTTTGTGTCCTGGGTCAAAGGACTACACGCACACACAACGACAAAAATGTCGACTAACAGCTGGCTGGGCGATGGTATTGAAGTGGTGTCTGGTGTACGTCAGGGCTGTCCACTAGCACCATACCTCTTTCTGTGTGATGTAGAGCCTCTGGTGCAGAAGGTGGAGAGGAGTGGTTTGGGACTGGACACCCCCCGACAACGTCTGGCATATCTCGGATATGCAGACGACACAACTTTAGCCTTGCAGGGGAGGGAGCAGATTGACAAGGCGGAGAAGCTGTTAGACGAGTTTAAGCAGCAGTCTGGTCTCTCGACTAACAAAGAAAAAACTGTGGTATTACCCTTGGGTCTAAACCTCGGAGCTTCAGACGGAGGAGAGTTTAAATGGGCGAAGCCGAAGGAGGCAGAGAGGTTATTGGGGGTGTGGGTAACCCTAGATGGCAGCGGTCTCCCCACCTAGGAGAAGGTATTGGAGGAGATTATTAAGCGCTTGACGAGATGGAAGCAAAAGTTTCTCACGGAGAAGGCGAGAGGGGCGGTGGCGAATCACTATCTCCAGCCGGTGATGACCTTTCGGGCGCAAGTGTACCCGCCACCTACAAAAATATGGAAGGAGCTTTAGAAGTTAATACATAATTTTGTATCGGGTAATAAGGCAACGCCCACAAAGGTCTTTCTGCTGTGGAGCAAGGAGTTGCTTTACACCCCGAGGTTGGACGGCGGACTGGGAATTCATGACCCGAGCGTAACACTCGCGTGCCTGGCCGCCAGGCGAGTTGGGCTGCCGATGACGGAAGTAGATCAACTTAAGAGGGAACTGATGGTGCGCGCGGCGGATCTCCCGCTAAAGCTGGATACCTTCACCTCGCACGACCGCCTCCTTCGACACTGGGAAGGGAGGAGTCAACGCTGGAAACAGACGTGCGAAATCTATATAAAATTGCCCCTCATCGTACGGACAGTGGAGATCACGAGGGAGGAGGTCGCAAAGGAGAAGCTTGTCTTCAATCGAGCTATCATGATGGGAGTATCAGCTCCGGTGGGCGGACAAAAGCATGCAGAGCAGCTGTGGGACTGTGTGCTGGGCGACCTGGTGAAGCAGCAACAAGACGGTACCTGGGAGTAGAAATCCATGGCGAAGCTCACGGAGCAGCTCGGTGGGAAGGGACCTGCCAAGCTCGCGTTGAAGGCTTTCGCAGCAGCACCCTGAGAATGGAGGGAGGTGCTACTGACCCCCTGCACGAACTCGGCTGGCTGGGGTTCAGAGGAGGAAGCGGCCCTCCCGCGCATCCCAATTCTGGAGAACGGGGGAGTGATTTCGCAGAAGAGAATGTGGGGGCATTAGGAGGGGAAGCGCGCGCAATCACATCGGATGCTGCGCAGGGCATGCAGGTGGAGCGGTTCAATAAACTGGAAAAAGATTTTGGGCATTCAGGAGTCTCTGGTCACTCCCAGGAGACCGAGAGACCTCCTAACATGGGTGTATAACTTCAACCTCCAGGTGGGAGAAAGACTCGCCTTTCTCAGCGACAAACCTCTCTGCCCACACTGCAATGACGAGGAGATGCTGGAGCATTGTCTCTTTACCAGCCCGTGGATCCAAACAATGATTGTTGCGCTGAAACGTGCCCTCCGCAATCTGAATCCACGACGGGTCACGGATTCTATGGAGGACCTACTCTTCCGCACAGCTGGTACAAGTACAGCTTTCCCGGAAGCGAATCTCATCGAATCACGCTGCAACAGATTTGGCTGAAGCGGTGCGAAGCTGTCTTCAGGGGGCGAAAATCCAGAGCGCGCCGAGTGCTGAGGAGGATCCTTTTCGCTTTCCGTTTGCATACGAGGGTGTACATGAAAGCACGCTTGACAGCGTGGCAGAAGAAAAAGAAATCGGTGCAGGAGGGTAGCTTCAGCAAGAGTCTTTTGGAGGAGCATCGGGTGATGTGTAAGATACGGCTGGCAGGAGAGAAAAAGCGGACGTGGATTGGTGGCTTTGAGTCCATCTGGACCAATCCTAGGACAGTGTTTAACCCACCGTAGATTACTCGCTGGAGCAGACAGCCTCTGTTCGCTCACGCACGGTTACGACCGATATTGTCATAGTATGCATCTGTGTTTGCGGTGTATACCTTTTCAACAATAATAATAATATAAAATCACCATAATATTATGGACCTTAGATAAATCGAATGTAACAAAGCTGTTGCGTTAAGGCTGACAAGTTTGAAAGTTTTCCCATTTGAGCCTTCACACGGTGGCGTTTCGCCTACGTCAAAAGGTTCAAGGATGTGCTGACAGGATGCTTGCCTGCTACGTGGCAGCTTCAGACAAGCCTTGCACGATGCTGTCGATGTCACGTAGCCCCTCCTTCCTTCCCGTGCAATCTCAAGCGGACACGACCGCAACATTCCGCGGGTGTGTCCTTTGGGATGATCACGCAATCAGAGCGCAACATTCCAGCCAATCATAACATGCTTTCCGAGCTTTCGCGGAATCTCAAATTCTCCGCGGCAGTGGGCGGTACAGCGCGGAAGGAACAAACAAACGGGGCAACGTGCGGAACAGATGCCTTCTGTTCCGCGACACGCCAACCATGCTGGTGCTTTCCGCAACAGGCTGTCCTTCCGCATTGCTGCTCTGCACCTTTCCGCGCACACCCAATTTCTCACAGCTCCCAAGGTTCTATCAAAAGGCTTCAATTAACCAATTTTGGAGCCTTTCCCTGCTTGCTGCTGCGACGCAGCTTTTTCCTGTGTCATAGCAATTGCGTTCTGGTTTAGCTACGCGCGCCGTAGAGTCTGCCAGACGCTCTCATCGAGCTGAACTTGCAGTGTCCTATTGTCCTTAACGTTCAGTCGAGTTCTTCGGCCATGGATAGTGTTCTTTCTATGGCGACCACGTCAGCAAGCCTGACATCCCAGTCCGCAATTGGGCTTAAAAATAGGCCTTCAACTTCTGGATTTTCCGGAGGACTACGATCTGCGCCGTTGAGGTTTTCCCCATCTCACGGCCAGCGTTTCAGCAAGCGAGCAGGAAGGTCTAGCCTTGCCACTAGGGCCGTGTTCGATCCGCTGCATTTAGACGCCGCGATTTCCACCCTTACTTCCCACAATTTCCTCTACGCCGTTGCCGATGCGGCGGACGCGGCGGCATCCGCGGCCGCTGACGTGTCAACCGCCGTGGCGGCTGTAGCAGCTGACGCGGCGGCGTCTGGCGGAGACGCAGCGGCTGCTGCGGCTTCCGATGGAGGCTGGTTCGCTGGGCTCGCGAACGTTTTGGAGAGCATCTTGAAGGTGAGAGGAAAATGACGTAAGCGTGGTTCCATACAAATGCCTTCATGCAGTGGTTCATGGGGACACGTTACTACTTGTAACCTGTTATATAGGGGGCTCGATGTCTTTCAGGTTTAGGCAATCTGTAATAAACGTCACCTTTTTCGTTTTGGTAGAATGTGGGCAATAGATGCCGAATCTGATAATGACTTTCATCGACTTATGGATAATTGGTGCGATGCAAACAGGCCTATCGACTTCTCGTCGACTAGTTATGGATAGTCGAGCTGAAAATTTTAGCGACTTATTAGAGTCCTAATGAAATAGGCGTATCTAGAAGCGTCTGCGCCGGGCACTCGGTCATGTTGCGTCGTCGGTCGCTCGCGACTCGCATCTTGCGTAATTCTATCTCCGTGACTCAGCTGCTGCGCCAAGCCATAGTTACAGCCAGCGTGTACGTCCTTCACTAACGCCCGTGTACGGCTTAAACCGCAAACCCTTTTGCCCCTCCGTGTCTACTTCACCCCCCCCCACCCCTCCTCTTCGCGTGTGTCGCCGCTAATATAGCAAACATCCTTTCCTCATCAAGCGCTGAAGCACGGTCTGGCGTCGCTGAACGTGCCGCACGCGTACGATCACTCGATCATTCTGGCACCCCCCCCCCCCTTTCCCCCCCACCCCCCTCTGTAACCTTACTCGCCTCCTTCATCCCTTGCTCCACCCCTCCTTCCCGCGTGTGTCTCGCAATCTTCCTCTCCCGGACAGGTGTTGGAGCAAGGACTGGCGTCGGTGAACGTGCCGTACGCGTACGGGTTCTCCATCATCCTGCTCACGCTGCTCGTCAAAGTCGTCACCTTCCCGCTCACCAAGCAGCAGGTACGCGATTGTTTTGTGAAAGAAGTTGCTTGTATTCTCGAATTCTGTGCTCCTTCTCGCCCCCTATTTAGTCACTCAATCACTCATTGTTTCCACCAGTCTCGCCCCCCCCTTCTCATTCCCGCTTGTGGAATCTTCAAATCATTTCCCCGCACCCGTTGAAAGCAAACACGTTGACGAAAATATCCTCTTGCGTTCCCCTCCCGTCCCTCTCACTCTCTGCTCCCCTCTCACTTCCTGTCGCCTCTCCCTCACCTCTCCTCTCTCCACCTCTCCCTCCTTTGCTCTCCCCTCGCAGGTGGAGTCAACGATAGCGATGCAGAACCTTGCGCCAAAGGTCAAGGCTATTCAAAAGCAGTAACTCAAATGCTCTCTCTCGCGATTCCTCTCCTTTGCCGTTTCCCCCGCCCCTCGCGCTCACCTCGCAGGTGGAGTCAACGATGGCGATGCAGAACCTCGCGCCCAAGGTCAAGGCCATTCAAACCAAATATGCCGGCGACCAGGTACTTGTCGCGCGCATCCCCCCTCCCCACCATCCCCCCTACCCCGCTTCCCCCCTTCCCCCGTTTTCCCCACTTCCCCTCCTCCCCGCCCCCCGTCGACTACCCCCACACACCTTTGTTTTCCGCTTATCCAAACAGCATCATTCCCCTTAATTTCCGCGCGCACCTTTCCCGTTCGCATTGCCGTCGCTTTCCCCGCTTACCCTCGCACTTTCCCCTCTACCATACCATTCCCCTCTTCCATCCCTCCCTCACATCGCTCTGACGCCATCAGGAGCGCATTCAGCTGGAGACATCGCGTCTCTACAAGCAGGCTGGTGTCAACCCACTTGCCGGTAAGGATAACATGCTTTTCTAGTAGTTATTTTCAGAATATACCAAGATGTATCAGAAAAAGAATCGGTGGGTGGAAAGTGAGTAACTGGGGTTCGGAGGACGTGAAAAGCTTGCTGTGTTCAACCCAAAGATGTTTTGAGATCCCGCAACGAAGATTTCTGATGCACACGGGTCAGGGATCTTAGGCGCTAGCTCCCGCCGAGCTGGCCCTGATGATGCCTTCGCGTCGTTTAGAGCTTTTAGACACTTTGGCTCCTCGTGCCTGGCGTTGGTTTCACCCCGTTGGCTCCTCGTGCCTGGCGTTGGTTTCACCCCGTTGGCTCCTACGCATCGCTGTGCTGCACCAATGTTCAGACATTCATTCGGTAAACTACTCTGCCAGAATAATCCCACTTCCCTCGCGAAGTTTAAGCCGAGTTTTGTGTGTTCTCTCGGGTTGTCCCTTTTCCTTAACGTGTGCCCTCCTGCAGGGTGCCTGCCGACGCTAGCCACTCTGCCAGTCTTCATCGGACTGTACCAGGCACTCAGCAACGTCGCCAAGGAGGTGAGACACAATAGTCTGTGACTGTAAAGAGAGGAATACGAAGGTGCCTGCCCACGCTAGCCACTCTGCCGGTCTTCATCGGACTGTATCTGGCGCTCCGCAACTTGGCTAAGGAGGTGAGACTAGAGAATGTGACAGTAAAGAAGACGTTTCAGAGGGCTAGAGAGAGGTACAAGGGTTTCTGCCCATGCCAGCCTCTCTGCTCGTCTGTGATCCCGTGCCTCCCACCACAACCTCATCCCCTCCCAGCCAAACTCACTACCCCGCACCCCACCTCACCCCATCCCACTCCACCACCTCAACACCTCCCCGTCAACACCATTCTTTCCTCTAACATACATCACAAGGAGTGCTTACAGAGCGTTGTCTTCTTACAGAGCGTTGTCTTGGGCGTTTCAATTTCAAGCGCCTGAAGCCTCCATCCCTCTGTTCCTCTTCCTTCCCCCGCTGTTTCCCGCATCACGCCACCCCATCATAGGGCGTGTTCATCATGAAGTTCCTAAGGATCCCCTCTTTCGCTAGCCCCACGTCTGTAGCCCCATCCGCACCTCCACCAACTCATTACCCCATAACATCCTCTCCCCCCCCCCCCCCGTCCTCCCACCCCCCCCCCCCCCCCCCCCTCTCCCCCACAACCCCCACAACCAAAACCCACCCAACCCTCGTCGGCCCCTCCACTGCTCGAGCCAAGTGCATGAGAGGGCATTCTCACAAGAGGGTTCTATCAGATTCTCACAAGAGGGTTCTATCAGATTCTCACAAGAGGGTTCTATCAGATTCTCACAAGAGGGTTCTATCAGATTCTCACAAGAGGGTTCTATCAGATTCTCACAAGAGGGTTCTATCAGATTCTCACAAGAGGGTTCTATCAGATTCTCACAAGAGGGTTCTATCAGATTCTCACAAGAGGGTTCTATCAGATTCTCACAAGAGGGTTCTATCAGATTCTCTCTCTCGCTGGCCCACATCTGAAGCCCACATCTGAAGCCCACATCTGAAGCCCACATCTGAAGCTCTATCCCTTCTCGCATTTTCAGCCTTCTTATCCTTCCCATGCTCCCTTCATCCCCGTCCCTGTACCCTCCTTAACCCCCCATGCCAGGGAGTGCACACGGAGGGCTTCTTTTGGATCCCTTCCCTTGCCGGCCCCACGTCCGTTCATCTCTCACTCCCCACCACATCCTCTCCCCTCCCACGTGCTCACCTCCCCTCCCCCATTTCAACCCCATGGCAGGGAGTGCTCACGGAGGGTTTCTTCTGGATTCCCTCTCTTGCCGGCCCCACCTCCATTGCTGCTCGCGACAGCGGCTCAGGCATCTCTTGGCTCTTCCCCTTCATTGTGAGTCGAATCTCATTCTGCATCTTCCCATTCATTGTAACAGTTATCATTTATTTTCTTAGCATTCTCACTTGCTCCTTGAATCCTCAACGCCCTTCACCTTTTCAATTCTCAACTCCACTCCATTCCATACAATCTAAGGTATACTTACTCAGGACGGGATCCCACCTCCCCAGGATCCCACCCCCCCGGGATCCCACCCCCCCGGGATCCCACCCCCCCGGGATCCCACTTCCCCGGAATCCCACCCCCCCGGGATCGAGGTGTGTTTTGAGTCGACTCAAAACACCCCCGGGATCCCACTTCCCCGGGATCCCACCCCTCTGGTGGGAGACGATAGCAACCATTCTGGTGCTGGCAGTGGTGCTCTGTTCTTCCCCTCATAGCTCCCCCTCTCTCTCCCTCTTCGTTCTCTTTTCACTCCCTCTCACAGGACGGGGTCCCACCTCTTGGATGGGAGGCAACAGCAGCCTACCTGGTGCTGCCGGTGCTGCTGGTGGCGTCGCAGTTCTACGCCATGCAGATCATGCAGCCGCCCCAGAGCGACGTGAGTGGTTGAAGTGTGGTGTGTGAGTGTGACAATGTGGGTGTGACAGTGTGAGTGTGACAGTGTGAGTGTGACAATGTGAGTGTGACAGTGTGAGTGTACCAGTGTACATCAAGTGAGTCATGGTGTGTCCTTATGTGCCAATAAGTTCTACGCCATGCAGATCATGCAACACGCCTCAGAGCCACGTGAGTGGTTAGAGTGTGTGTTGGTGTGAGTGTGGCAGTCTGTGTCAGCACACACACACAGTCGTGTGTGTGAGCACCAATGAGTTCTACGCCATGCAGGTCATGAGGGGTATCTGAACCCCCTCGGAGCGACAAGAGTGTCGCGGTGTGGCATGTCTCTTCCCTGCTCTGTCGCTCGCTGCCCTGCTGCTCTCTTCTCTGCTCCTCCCCCCTCTCTGGCTCTCCACACCACTGCACACATCACAAATGCACACATCTCAAATGCACGAGTAATAATCCTCAAGTTTCTGCTTTTTGTGTGCTCCAACTTACTATTTTCCTTCCCCTCTGCCCATCTCCTGGCATTTCCCCTCTGCCACTTGCCCCACCCACCCTACCCTCGTCTCTTATCACCAGGACCCAGCACAGAAGAACACACAAGTGATCCTCAAGTTCCTGCCTCTCATGATTGGCTGGTTCTCCCTCTCAGTCCCCTCCGGTCTCTCCCTTTACTGGTAACGTCACCATCAGCTGTGTAGGGTTACCACCATGGCTCTCCATCTACTGGTTATGTTACCATCATCTCTCCCTCTACTGCTTACCATCAACTGTGTAGGGCTACCACCATATCTCTCCCTCTCTGCCCCATCCATCCTTTCCCTTGTCTACTAGTAGTTTCTCATTCCATTATTGCCCGTCAACTCATAAAACCTATTCCTCCCTCACCCCCTTTCCGCTCAACCCCCAACTCATTCCTCTCCCTCCCTCACACACCACCCCCCCCAGGTTCACGAATAACCTGCTCAGCACCGGCCTAACCATCTACCTGCGCGAGATTGGGGCCTAGGGTGACTCGCCACCTCACACGCTCCACCCCTTTCTTCCCCGTTGCCATCATTCTCCTCCCCCCTCCTTCCTCCCCCCCCCCGCCCCCCCCCACCCCCCAGGTTCACCAACAACCTGCTCAGCACGGGGCAGACCATCTACCTGCGCAAGATGGGCGGCGCCACGCCCAAGGTGGCAGCTGGGGGGGGCGACATCATTGACGTGGGGCAGGCCAAGCGCTCCGCCGCCTCTTCCGTCGTAGCCACAGAACAGGACAAAGAGAAGCTGCGCGGTGAACAGTTCCGCAAGCAGAAGGAGACGGACGCCGCCCGCCGGGCGGCCAAGCGGGCGGCCGAGGAAGCGGCGCGGGCGGCGGAGGAGAAGGCGGCGCGGGAGAAGGCACGGCTGGAGCAGCTGAGGGCGGAGATTTCGGGAGAGGGGGAGGAGGAGGTGGCAGTGGTGGAAGCTGAGGTGAGCTTTTGAGGTTGTCCTCTACAGTGCATTCTTCCACAGCGAATTCATGTAGAGGCTTGAGAGAAGATGTGATCACTTGAGCTGTCGGAGGTTGATCCGTTTCCCGCCTCTCTTGCTTCTCCAACCCGTCACACTCCTCTTGTCCCTCCCTCATCGCCTTGCTCTGCAGGTGGTCTCTGTAGCTGAGAAGAACGGAGCAGCAGCAGGGGAGTCCAAGCCAGTAGTTCCGGAAGTACCCAAGGCTGCAGTGGCGCCATCATCAGGAACACCACGCCGCAGCCGTCGATCTCGTAGGACCCGGAAGGCGACCCCTCAGTAGTTGTAGATTTGTGCCTTAAATAGCTGCTGTGGTTCTAGTCTAGAATTTGTGTATGCTTGAATTGGCATGTTGGCGAACGTTTGTATTGGAAAGTCTGGTACATCACTGGTTTGTTTCAAAACATTATGCTGAAAAGAAGTAGAATGTATTTGCCAGAATTTTTTTAGTTCGCGTAGTGCTGCTACGGAGGTCTGGCTTTCCGCGGCTGTAAGGGCCAACCAATAATGGTGGTTGAAGTGTCGGTGTAAGCTCGGAAGACAGCCACATCCACAATCAGGGCTCGGATTCCATCCAAACCTCGGTGCCTTCTGGTCTGGATTACTCCCGCGAGCTGCGGTCCTCCGTGCTGTGAGGAGTCGCAATATCGTCGCAGAGCCAACGGCCCATGCTGGCGCCAAACCTGATTCCCCCTCACAATGCGTCCCAGGAGCCCTGCGATGCGACAACATCGACAGGACAGTGTGGTTCGGCAGCTGTACGAGACCTCAGCTCCTGGTTCGCCTGGAATGGCCTAGGCTCCAGTCTGAGGCACCTGACAGCAGCGGCTGTAGTGGGTTCACCAATCACCAACCACCAAACCTGTTCACACGTTCCTTATTCTGTTGCACAACACCTACCCCACCATGCACCATGAACAGCTCATAAAGGAGGGTGGTTATGTGTATGTACAGCACAGCACCACGCCTAAAACTCATCCAGAAATCACATGCCTTGGCCCAGACCTACATCACAAGCTTTGATTCACGTGTTAGCCGTGTGCGGCACCCCTGGAACGCCATACCTCATGGTTGAAAGCTCGCGACTGGTCAAACATTCGAGTACTCAACCGAGCAGTGAACTCTATTTACCGTACTTAGTCGTGGTTAACCGAACGACAACACCTGTTAAGCCGAGCCCAAACTATCAGCCACGCCCTGACCGAGCCAACAAATCTGGTTCGGCACACCTCGATAATTCACCAGTCACCCAAACCTCCTTACTTCCCTCACCTCCCCTCCCAGCCAACCTACCATAGCCATGCTCACGACTCTCCCTAGTCAGCCGCCATGGCCTCGCCGCATCCCCCGCAAGCATGCACCCATCCAACCAACCCATCTATGGTTGCTGCACTCTACTCTACTCCCTGGCATTCGCACATCCCACCGGAACCCCCAGCTCGCAGTTTTGATATTTTCTTGCCAGGCCGTCATAGTGAGGCTGCGTCGCTGGTCTTGGCCTTCGCTGTGCCCTGATACTTGTCCTCCACTCCTACCTTCTGTCCAAAAAGCTCATCCATTTGCCCTCCGCCCTGATCATCGACGCCTTTTGCGCTGGCTCGTTTTCTGAGATGGCGGCCGCCGCTCTCTACTCCCTGGCTGTGTTCGCCACGGTCCTCCACGAGTCAGCTCATCCTGTCATCAGGGAACTGCGTAACCTGGTCTTCGTCGCCTTCGTTTTCGCCAGAGCTCTTCTTGGTTTCGCTGCCGCGCTGATTTTCCGTGCAGCTCATTTGCCGTCATGTCATTCAGCCACGTGTCATTCGGCCACGTGTCGTGGCGCTTGCAACGTCAGGTCAGCTCCTGAAGCCTTCCACGTCAGCTCGACAGATTCTCCTGTTGCCGAACCTTCCACGTCAGTTTCCCAGTTTCCGAACTTGGATTTGCCGCCAGCTTTAAGCCAGCGGAAGGTTCAGACCAGCCATTGGATAATTCGCCGCCGCTCACACTCGCTATTGCCACCTTCGTTAGTGTCACGACCATCATTGCAAGAGAACGCGACAGTAGGAGCGGTTAAGAAATGGATAGCCGTTGGCGGGCTGCGGTCCCGGCGCGCTAAGATGGCCTGCCGCAATATGGCGGAGGCGGCCTTATATCGCGTACTGCTGAACTGTCAGGGGCAGGAAAGGCGGAGACTGGGACTTGGGGGAAGGGGAATACGAAGGGTCCGGGATGCTGGCGAAAGGGGAGTTGAAAGGGGGAGGTCGGGACGCGTTTTGGCGGAAGGTGAGGGGGAAGGAGAGAAGGGAAGGAGAGACCACAGGCATCGCAAGAATGGTAGTTGGGGGAGACGAGTGGGTAACTTGGTTGCGAGTGAGGCACACTATAAGGGGGAAATGGAGGCGGAAGAGGCGTGTGGTAAGGAGAAGGCGGGGTGGGATACGTGGGGGGAGCATTCAGGGGAGGACGAGAATAAGGAAGTTGTGAGTGTGGAGCTTAGGAAGGGAAGGGTGAAGGAGGAGGAGGAGGCTGAGGAGGAGGATGATGAGGAGGCGACGCGAGGAGGAATGGTGATGTTGTCAAAGTCGGCGGACCGCGTGGTTGGAAGCGCGGTGGTTGAGGAATCTTGGGACTGGTCGCCTTGCGCGGCTCAGCAGCTCCTCTTCCTCCCAGATTTGCGCGACGCGACTCCCCCGTACAGTCACGACCGCCCGTCGGACACTCCATACAGTCACAATAGCTTAGAGAAGGTGTCAACTCGTTATAAGAGCCACGAGACCAGGGCGAGCCACGAAATGAGGTCACATGCATGGTATCTACGCTCCCACGACAGCAACCATCCCCATATCTCGTCCGGCATGCCCTCTCGCAATCACAGCCTTCCCCATGCCCCGTCCTGCCCGCCCTCCCTCTCGTCTCGCGCACCCTCCCGCCGGCCCTCGCGCCGATCCTGCCATCGAGCCTCGGTACCAGCGTCGTCCGGAACCTCTTTTGATTATTATTCGCCTGTACGTAAGGAGCAGGAGGGGGAAGGGGAGGGGGAAGGGGAGGGGGAGAAGGAGGAAAAGGAGGAAGCGGAGGAGGAAATGGAGGAGGGTGAGGAGAGGCAAGAGGACGATTTGACTGTCCTCCGAAGCGCCTTAGAGCGCGAAATGGAGCTTTCTGATTCTCTGCGGCGCGAGGTGGAGCAGGAGCGGGCGGCAGCAGACAGCGCCGCCCAGGCGAGCATGGATTTGATTCACCAGCTGCAACAGGACAAAGCTGCCGCCCAGCGCGCGGCCGGCAGTGCCGCCCAGAGAGAGCGGATTTTGGAGCAGAAGGTGTTATCTGATAAGGAAGAGATGGGATTGATGAGGGACGTTATAGAGAGGCAAGAGGAGGAGGTAGCAGTTTTAAGAGAAATGCTGGAACAGAAACAGGAGGAGGTCAGGGTTTTAGAAGCTGAGCTGGCACTCTGGAGAGGACACGTGTCGCAAGCTGATTCGCTTGGGGGGAAGCAGGTGGAGGAAGGTTCAGGGGAGGAAGAACGGCTGACGGGTGAAGGGGAGGGAGCGATGGTAGCCGTATCAGCAAAACTTGGTGGATCAATCTCAGGCGAACATACTTTTGATTGTACGTCAGAAGAATTATTTGTAGACGAACAGATTCTTGAAGCGTCTCAAGGATCAGGCTTGACGGGGGAGGGGATCTTGGAAGAAAGGATGGAAGGGGGAAGTTTTGGGGCGATGGAAGAGGTGGAGGAGGGGCATTCGGGGAGAGAAGGGGAAGAAGACGAAAGTGGGAATAGAGGGAGAGAGGAGGAAGAGGAGGAAGAGGAAGAGGAGGAAGAGGAAGAGGAGGAATTGAAAGAGGAGGAAGACGAAGAGGAGGAATTGAAAGGGGAGGAAGACGAAGAGGAGGAATTGAAAGGGGAGGAAGACGAAGAGGAGGAATTGAAAGGGGAGGAAGACGAAGAGGAGGAATTGAAAGAGGAGGAAGACGAAGAGGGGGAATTGAAAGAGGAGGAAGACGAAGAGGAGGAATTGAAACGGGAGGAAGACGAAGAGGAGGAATTGAAACAGGAGGAAGACGAAGAGGAGGAATTGAAACGGGAGGAAGACGAAGAGGAGGAATTGAAAGAGGAGGAAGACGAAGAGGAGGAATTGAAAGAGGAGGAAGACGAAAAGGAGGAATTGAAAGAGGAGGAAGAGGGGAGTCTTGGGGATGAAGAGAGCGGCGAGGGAGAAGAGTAAGGGAGAATTGTTGGGGATGGAGGGGAAGTTGAGCGAGGAGCTGAAATGGAAGGATTAGTGGATGGAGGGCGCAAGATGAGTGGGGTCCTTGTGTAAATATGTTTATTGTAGAGCATACCCTATGGATTGTAGTTTACTGTATAGGAGTTAATTTAGGCAGTGAATTGTGCAACTACTGTAGCTGTAGGTGCAATTCCAGGTTGAATGAGTCAGTGAAACGCTCTTCAGGCAATTTTGATGCTTCAATGCAGCATTTAATCAGTTGCAAGCACTGTACCGTATATGCAGGAGAACAACCATTCTGAAATGAATGATAATAGGATGATTAAAATACACCATTCTGAAATGAATGATAATAGGATGATTAAAATACACAAAATCATCTCCACTGGCCGTGGTTTAACGCCAAGTACCCACTAAACAATCGTCCATTGGTACACCTAAGTTCATCTATAAGCCGATTCCAATTCGACCCAAGTGTACCAACAAAATAGTCGCATTGCGACGCTATAATGAGGTTGACAAAGCTGAGTCCCACCAGCACATCTGCACCCACAGCAGCCTCGTATTCGTGCATGGTCATCGCCCCCTCCTGCCTTGGGTTCTGTGTGAACAGAAACGTCCAATCCCGGTGCTGCTCCTTTGCTTCTTCAACCACACTCTGGGCGGGAGAGTGGAAGGGAGAGGGGTCTAAGTGAAGGAAAGGCCAGATGCAAAGTTGACTACATAAATGCCAGTGCTGCTCCTTTGCCTCTTCCTCCGCACTCTGGGAAGACAGGAGAGAGATGGGAAGGGAGTGGGGAGGTGGGAGAGGGAAGACAGGGAAGCAGCGAATTCAACAGCCTCTACCACGCTCTGGGAAGGTGGGAGGGGGATGGAATGGGAGTGGGAAGGTTGGAGAGCGTGGGAAGGTGGGAGAGGGAGTGAGGTGGGAGAGGGGCAACAGAGAGGGAGCGATGTAGAGAGTGGGGAAGCGCGGTGACAGAGGAAGCTAGGAAGAGAGGGAGGTAGCGAAACAAGAAGCTTGGCATTCCTGCACCGTCATCACCCCCTGCTGCCTTGGGTTCTGCACTCCCAGTGCTGGTCGTTTGTCTCCTCCACCTCACTCTGAGGGACAGGTGAAGGGGTGACTTTTGAGTGGACTCAAAAGTCACCTTGGGTTCTGCAATCCCAGTGCTGGTCCTTGGTCTCCTCCCCACCTCACTCTGGGGGACAGGTGAAGGGATAACAAAGGAGAGGGAGTGGTGAAGCATGGCGAGGGAGTGGTGAAGCATGGCGAGGGAGTGGTGAAGCATGGCGGGGGAGTGGTGAAGCATGGCGGGGGAGTGGTGAAGCATGGCGGGGGAGTGGTGAAGCATGGCGGGGGAGGACACGAGGAAAAAAAAGGGAGGCGGAGAAGCAAACAACCTGGCCTTGGTGCATAGCCGGTGCACCATGGGAGCAACGAGAAGGGTAACAGAGAGCGAGGGAGTGAGAAGGTGGGAGAGGGATAACAGAGAGGAAGAGAGGGAGGTAGTGAAATAAACAGCTCTTCACAGACCCACCCACGCACCTGCATCTCTGTGCTGAGCCAGATGAGGTTCAGGTTCAGCGCATTTCTCCTCATGTGCTGCGCCGTTGCTACAAACGCCCGCAGCGGCAGCACTATCACCAATTCTAATCCTTCAATCACCCAACCACCCAAGGCACGCACCTGCATGTCAGTGCTGAGCCAGATGTGGTTCAGATTCGGCGCATTCCGCCTCATGTGCTGCGCAGCTGCCAGAAAGACCCTTCCTATCCTGTCAATCATCCCCCTTACCACCCACCCACGCACCTGCATCTCTGTGCTGAGCCAGATGTGGTTCAGATTTGGAGCATTTCTCCTCATGTGCTGTGCCGCTGCCACAAACGCTCGCAGCGGCAGCAGCCGCATCTCGCCTGCCTTGTCGCCCTGCCTCACATGGACACTCACTATCGGCCGCGGCAGGTACGGCTCCTCAGATAACACCGCCCAGGATACCACCTCCCCCTGCCCGGTCCCACGTTCCCCCGCCTCCCCTTGCCGCCCTTCCCCTTGCCCCGCCTCCCCCTCCCCTGCCTCCTCCGCAGCATCACCCCTCCGTGCTAGGGTTGTGCAAGCAGGGGTGTAGAGGCGACCGCTAGCTGCTGCTGCTGGGTTGAGTGGCCAGATTGAGGTCTCTAGGAGAGATGAGTCGAGAGATGACTTGAGTGACAGGGGATGCTGTGTGTCGCTGCTTTTGCTGCCGCCACTGCTGCTGCTGCTACTGCTGTCGGCGGCGCTGTTGGCACTTCTATTGCCGTTGCTATCACCCGCCCGACTGTCGTTTTCCCCAGAGTTGTTACCATCATCACCACCATCACCATCACTATCCTCCCCATCACCACCATCAGTCACCACCCCCCCATCCACATCAGCTAGAGCACCCAACCATGCTTCATCCATCCCCCCACCCCCATCACCAACCGCACTGCTGGCACCGCTGCTGCTGCTCCCCCGGAGAATCTCGAGAGCAGCGGACTTGGCAGCGGCAGCAGCAGTGAGGGAGAGGGCGACTCTGAAGCCATAGGTGTGGTGGCGGGCGGCGTTGGTGAGATGGCAGAGATAGGCCGTGGGGGAGCGCAGGAAGAAGCGCACCGACTGGCTTCGCCACCAGTGCACCTGGTTGGGTGGATGGGCGGATGGGTCGATGGGCGGATGGGTGGATGGGTGGATGGATCGATGGGCGGATGGGTGGATGGGTGGATGGCGGACGGGTGTTGAGGGGAAGCGGGACACAGGAGGTTTGTGAGGCGGCTCAAAACGGGGTAGCTTAGTTAGTCCCCTCACCACCAATGCTGCTGTTTGTTTTATTTCTAACGCCTCAAAGGAAGCCTTTCTTTACACGGAAATCATACTAAGAATCGAGGCGGCTTTATAGTCCCTTTTGCACCGCTGCTGCTGCGGGCCTGCCTTCTTGAGCAGGCACACGGTGGCAGAAGCAGGCACACGGTGGCAGAAGCAGGCACACGGTGGCAGAAGCAGGCACACGGTGGCAGAAGCAGGCACACGGTGGCAGAAGCAGGCACACGGTGGCAGAAGCAGGCACACGGTGGCAGAAGCAGGTACACGGTGGCAGAAGCAGGCACACGGTGGCAGAAGCAGGCACACGGTGGCAGAACCAGGCACACGGTGGCAGAAGCAGGCACACGGTGGCAGAAGCAGGCACACGGTGGCAGAAGCAGGCACACGGTGGCAGAAGCAGGCACACGGTGGCAGAAGCAGGCACACGGTGGCAGAAGCAGGCACACGGTGGCAGAAGCAGGCACACGGTGGCAGAAGCAGGCACACGGTGGCAGAAGCAGGCACACGGTGGCAGAAGCAGGCACACGGTGGCAGAAGCAGGCACACGGTGGCAGAAGCAGGCACACGGTGGCAGAAGCAGGCACACGGTGGCAGAAGCAGGCACACGGTGGCAGAAGCAGGCACACGGTGGCAGAAGCAGGCACACGGTGGCAGAAGCAGGCACACGGTGGCAGAAGCAGGCACACGGTGGCAGAAGCAGGCACACGGTGGCAGAAGCAGGCACACGGTGGCAGAAGCAGGCACACGGTGGCAGAAGCAGGCACACGGTGGCAGAAGCAGGCACACGGTACGGTGGCAGAAGCAGGCACACGGTGGCAGAAGCAGGCACACGGTGGCAGAAGCAGGCACACGGTGGCAGAAGCAGGCACACGGTGCAGAAGCAGGCACACGGTGGCAGAAGCAGGCACACGGTGGCAGAAGCAGGCACACGGTGGCAGAAGCAGGCACACGGTGGCAGAAGCAGGCACACGGTGGCAGAAGCAGGCACACGGTGGCAGAAGCAGGCACACGGTGGCAGAAGCAGGCACACGGTGGCAGAAGCAGGCACACGGTGGCAGAAGCAGGCACACGGTGGCAGAAGCAGGCACACGGTGGCAGAAGCAGGCACACGGTGGCAGAAGCAGGCACACGGTGGCAGAAGCAGGCACACGGTGGCAGAAGCAGGCACACGGTGGCAGAAGCAGGCACACGGTGGCAGAAGCAGGCACACGGTGGCAGAAGCAGGCACACGGTGGCAGAAGCAGGCACACGGTGGCAGAAGCAGGCACACGGTGGCAGAAGCAGGCACACGGTGGCAGAAGCAGGCACACGGTGGCAGAAGCAGGCACACGGTGGCAGAAGCAGGCACACGGTGGCAGAAGCAGGCACACGGTGGCAGAAGCAGGCACACGGTGGCAGAAGCAGGCACACGGTGGCAGAAGCAGGCACACGGTGGCAGAAGCAGGCACACGGTGGCAGAAGCAGGCACACGGTGGCAGAAGCAGGCACACGGTGGCAGAAGCAGGCACACGGTGGCAGAAGCAGGCACACGGTGGCAGAAGCAGGCACACGGTGGCAGAAGCAGGCACACGGTGGCAGAAGCAGGCACACGGTGGCAGAAGCAGGCACACGGTGGCAGAAGCAGGCACACGGTGGCAGAAGCAGGCACACGGTGGCAGAAGCAGGCACACGGTGGCAGAAGCAGGCACACGGTGGCAGAAGCAGGCACACGGTGGCAGAAGCAGGCACACGGTGGCAGAAGCAGGCACACGGTGGCAGAAGCAGGCACACGGTGGCAGAAGCAGGCACACGGTGGCAGAAGCAGGCACACGGTGGCAGAAGCAGGCACACGGTGCAGAAGCAGGCACACGGTGGCAGAAGCAGGCACACGGTGGCAGAAGCAGGCACACGGTGGCAGAAGCAGGCACACGGTGGCAGAAGCAGGCACACGGTGGCAGAAGCAGGCACACGGTGGCAGAAGCAGGCACACGGTGGCAGAAGCAGGCACACGGTGGCAGAAGCAGGCACACGGTGGCAGAAGCAGGCACACGGTGGCAGAAGCAGGCACACGGTGGCAGAAGCAGGCACACGGTGGCAGAAGCAGGCACACGGTGGCAGAAGCAGGCACACGGTGGCAGAAGCAGGCACACGGTGGCAGAAGCAGGCACACGGTGGCAGAAGCAGGCACACGGTGGCAGAAGCAGGCACACGGTGGCAGAAGCAGGCACACGGTGGCAGAAGCAGGCACACGGTGGCAGAAGCAGGCACACGGTGGCAGAAGCAGGCACACGGTGGCAGAAGCAGGCACACGGTGGCAGAAGCAGGCACACGGTGGCAGAAGCAGGCAGGAACACTGAGACTTGCGGTGTTATTTGATTGGTCTGTTACCTTGAGCAGCTCCTCTGACATGGCAGGAGCGCCTCCCACGTGGTGCACTGTGATTGGCCGGTCGTACCAGGGAGAACTCCAGAGACTGATGTGATGGGTGAGTGGGTGGGTGGAGAGAGGAAAATTGAGGAGGGAGCGAAGGTGGGGGGGAGAGAGGGAGGAGGGGGAGGGGTGCATGGAGGAAAAGGGGGAAACGGGGGAAAGCGAGGTTGTCAAGAGTAAGTGTTGTTGGAGAAGCCAGATCCCATAACTTGAAATACATAACTTAAAATATATAACTTGAAACATGTAACTTCAAATACATAACTTGAAATATATAACTTCAAATATATAACTTGAAATATATAACTTGAAATTCACAAGTGAGGTTGAGAGACAATGAGCCAATGGCATGGCAGCATCTCTTCCTCTGGGTGACTGGCACCAAACGAGCCAGCTCACTTGCTGCTAACATGGGTCCTGGGATGATGATGGTACACCAGCCATACCTTCACACGCAGGCAACAACCCTACCTGGCAGCATCAGCCTGGAACTTGAAGCGCAGAGGCCAGGGGAAGTTGGCGGCTATGTAAATAGCGGGCTCGACTGATCTGAAGCAAAAACAACCTTCATCTCCTCATACTTGCCCCGGGCGTGCAGTGCAACATTACCTGGCGGCGTCACCTTGGAACTTGAGGTGCAGAGGTTACGGGGAGTTGGCTGCTATGAAGAGAGCTTGCTGGTCCGACTCTAGAGCACCCTACATTGCCTCGTACTTGCACGGTGCGTGCAGGGCAACCTTACCTGGCAGCATCAGCCTGGAACTTGAAGCGCAGTGACCAGGGGAAGTTGGCGGCTATGTAAAAAGCAGGCTCGTCCGAGGCTAGGGCAACCTTCATCTCCTGGTAGTCGCGCGGTGCGTACCGTGCTCTCTTCTCAGCCACGGCTGCTGCACCCGCCCGCTCGCACTCGAGAGAGGAAATGGGGAGGAAGTAGCAGGAGAGCGAGGAGGGGTGACCCGTGTCTGGGAAAAAAGAAGAATTGGGTGAGTGGGGAGGGGTGGGTGATCGGGGGGCAAAGGGGCGTGAGTGAGGTACTGTGCTCGCCTCTCCACCATGGCTGCTGCGCCTGCCCGCTCGCATTCGAGAGAGGAGATTGGGAGGAAGTAGCAGGAGAGCGAGGAGGGGTGGCCCGTGACTGGGAGAAAGGGGTGGGGGCGTGGGTGGGGAGGATGAGTAATTGGGAGGATAAGGGGCATGAGATTACCGCGATGGCAGAGGAGTCACATCACAGCACATGCTACAGCCGCGCCTTGCCACATGCTACAGCCGCGCCTTGCCACATGCTACAGCCGCGCCTTGCCACATGCTACAGCCGCGCCTTGCCACATGCTACAGCCGCGCCTTGCCACATGCTACAGCCGCGCCTTGCCACATGCTACAGCCGCGCCTTGCCACATGCTACAGCCGCGCCTTGCCACATGCTACAGCCGCGCCTTGCCACATGCTACAGCCGCGCCTTGCCACATGCTACAGCCGCGCCTTGCCATGCCGCCTCACCTCACCTCTGCAAGCCGCATGAGCAGCATGCCCAAAGCTCCCGGGTAAGACAGTGAGCACTCGGACGGTCATATGCCGCGGCAAGGCTGAGGGCGGCAGACATGATGCGCATCTGTGCACCAACGCCAGAAACGTTCACGGTAATGCCAGGGGATTCATACCACATGCTACATCCGCGCCTTGTCACATGCTACATCCGCGCCTTGTCACATGCTACATCCGCACCTTGTCACATGCTACATCCGCGCCTTGTTTGTCACATGCTACATCCGCACCTTGTCACATGCTACATCCGCGCCTTGTCACATGCTACATCCGCACCTTGTCAAATGCTGCGAGAAGCATATGCGGCATGCTCAAAACTCCCCGGCAGGTCAGTGAGAATGCGGTCATAGGCCACGGCAAGGCTGAGGGCGGCAGACATGATGTGCAGCTGCGCGCAAATGGTGAAAAGCCGTGCCTTCAACGTTTGGGGCAGCACACGTCCACAGCATCACACTCTCACAGCCTCACCTCGGCAAGCAGCATGTGCAGCATGCTCGAAACTCTCCGGCAGCACGGTAACCACTCTGTCGTAGGCCACGGCAAAACTCAAGGCAGCAGAAATGATGTGCATCTGCGCTACAATGCCAAAGCCCATGTATGCTTTGCATTTGCATCCAACCACCCACCCACCCACCCACCCACCTCTGCAAGCCGCATGTGCAGCGTGTTCAAAGCTCCCAGGCAGCACAGTGAGAACACGATCATAGGCCACGGCGAGGCTGAGAGCGGCAGACATGATGTGCATCTGCGCGCCAATACCAAAGCCCTGCACGGGCGGCCACGCCACCACCAGAAGCTTCCTCGCGCCTTCCCTCTCGGAGGAGCAGGAGCCGGGCGGCGGGAACTGGTGCCCCCAAAGGTCTGTCTGCACGACACGTGTCATCGCGAGATTGGCCGCATCCGTGCCACGAATCTGGGAAGAGGGGGAAGGGAGAGAGGGTGTGAGAGGAAATGCAAGGGAGGGTAAGGGCATAGGAAATGAGGAAGAGTGAGGAAATAAGCGGAAATGAGATGCTAAAAAAGAGGAGAGGAGGCCTGGCCTGCAAGGATGAATGTAATTAACCAAGTAATGTGTTAAAAAAATATGGGATTTGTTAAAAAGCACTCGCTAAAGTCCCCCTCTCTCCGTCCTTAACCTCCCATCCCGCACGTTCCCCCACTAACTTCCCCTCCTTCTCCCCCCTACCCCACCCCTCTCTCCTCCCCCTCCTCCTACTCCCTTCCTCCTCCCCTCCCCCTCCCCCATCTCCCCCTACACTAACCCAGGGCGGATCCGGCGACCAATCAGAGCAGTTGGACGGCCGCGCCCAAGCAGGCATCTCCCCCGCGGGTCCGCGCATCTCCGCGGCCTCCCGCGCGCGCGAAAGAGCCGCGCAGTTCTCCATGTGCGGAGCCAGCGGAACGCGCGCCCCGCGCCCGCCCCCGGACCCTCGGCTTGCGGACGCGCTCGAGGCGAAGCCCGGAGGGGGACGGAGGGTTCGGGGGGGGAATAATGGCGGTTGCGCGACGTGCGCGCGATCGGTGCTTATATCGGAGTTGCTGCTGGTGTAGTTTGTACGCGGTACGAGCCCGTACATGTAGGACCATGCCTGAGACGGAGGCGGAAGGGGAAAGGGGACAGAGGGGAGCGGAAAGGAGGGGTAGCAGAACCAATGTGGACACCCTAATTGCTATAATTTACCTGAATCCACTCGAAAGAAGCTAAGTACCAACGCAGGGACAGAGGGGAGCGGAAAGGAGGGGTAGCAGAACCAATGTGGACACCCTAATTGCTATGATTTACCTGAATCCACTCGAAAGAAGCTAAGCACCAACGCGAGCGACAACCTGCGGCTGGCATTCTAAAGAAAGCGACGGCCTGCGGCTCGCGTTATTAAACAAGCGACGGCCTGCGACTCGCACCTTGAAGAGCGCGACGGCCTGCGCGTGTTGAGCTCCACCGGGAGCCAGCGGATCGACCGGCCGCTGCCGCCCTCTTGGCCCGCCTCCTCGGCGAGCGTCGCAACGGATTGGCGAAAGAATCAGCAGCAGCGAGAAAATCGGAAGTTTTGAAATTGCAAGCGACATGCGTGATAGGCGGTAGGCGCGGCGGCGACGCGTCGCAGCTGCATTGGAGGGAAATCGCGTCGGTGTCGCGCTGCCAGCCATGCTTGTCTTGAGCGTTACAGGCGACGGCGCATAGATGCTAGAATTCCGCGCACTGCCTAGAGTTTGCTATCTGGCATCCGGTCAGAGGCGATTAAAGGGCAGCCACTGCATAGTGTACGTCGACGCCCCATGCGTACCTCAGGAGGTTCGTGTCCGGCTCGCGTAAACACAGCCGCGTTTAGCGGACCTCATGCAAGAATTTACTTCGGAAGTTGGTGAGCCGCTGGTCACGTACGCGTTTCAAGCGCGCGCAGTATTGCTCGACGATAAGCGGATACGTGATGTTCATGGGCATATACTTGTCTATGGTTATTTGTACACTATTCGTTCCGTGATGCTCCTAAGCTGTGCGATTGTTCCAAACGAGACCACTGATGTCCAAAGTTCAAACCAAGCACACACGAGCCGCGGTCGTGCATCTGCTCTGCTCCCTGGTTGTGAACAGTTCTGTTTTGCTGCTCTGTTCTGTAGCACGCTCCTACGAATTGCTTGGGCTTCACTCCTTCCCCTCCCCCCCTCTCCGCCCCTTCCCCTTCGTCCTTCACCTACCCCACGCCCCCATCCGCCCCTCCTCCCCAGCACTCCCTTCCACCCCTCCAAACCCCCCAGGAACTCACCCCCTCATCCTCCCCATACCAGTGGATTCAAATTTCTTCCGCTTCTAGGCCCTGCGCAAACCACCAGACTGCAGCACATGTAAACTGCTTTCAGTGCACTGGGAAACCTTGTTTCAACAGTAAAGTGGGTACATCTGAAAATAATGCGCTGGTTTGTTCCAATTCTGAAACGTTTTCGTCATGGTACAGTAATTTTACCAGCTGTATCTGAGCATCCTGGCAGGTGAACTTTCATTTCTCTTCCTACAATCAACATACAATTGTTCTCGCATTAAGTCCCGCTCCAAAACACGAAACGCGCGGGACTATGTGTCAAAACCTCAAAATCCCAGGCAAATTGAACCCTATAGTCCCAACTGGGCGGTTTAGGTCGTCCTTACGTATGATGGCTGGTACGGCATCATACGGCTGCTCTGGGCGACGGAATGTTACCATTCCGTCGCCCGGAATGAAACCGAACTGTTGCTCAATAGTCTGAACATCAGCACAACAATTTCCTCGCTCTGTCACTGAAATGGTGCATTAATTAAAATGTCTTATAAACGTACAAAAACAAACACACAAACAAGCAGCACTTGTTCTCACACGTGCAACCATCAAACATTGGCAAGAACACAACCACTCACACACACAAGCATGCGACACTCCCAAAACACATTCCGTCATCACATCCCAGCATGCACAAGCACATTCTACGCTCCCTGCTCGCACACAAACACCAACACCTTACACATGCACGCATGTTAAGAAGAGTAGTAACACAGACACAAAAAACCAACGGCACGTCGCCAAACATTAGCCTCACCCACACTGAAGCCCGGTAGATGGCACTTGCGGCACGCATACTGCAGAAGGGACTGACCAAAATATTGCACACGAATGGGCATTGTTGTCTCTCTTAGAAGTCGCGGAGCCATTCAGCTTCCTCCGCGAAGCCGTCCATAACCGCCGTTGCATCTTGTGCATCACCCACAGCGTAACTACCGCTGCTAGGTGGGGGGTTGTTCAGGTTCAGGTACGCGCGACTGGCTCGATCCAGTCGCGCAAGTACAGCAGAGTTGCTGATGCCAAATATCTGCGCCAGATCCATTGGCAGGATCCTTGACGCCCGCGCATAGCCGATAAGGATCTCAGTGGCGTTCCTAGCCACGCGGCGTCGCTCGCGGAGCATGTCCGCGTCGGCCGGTCCACTTGGCTGGACGGGATCCGCACGAGGACTGCCGTGTGTGCGAGGGGGTTCGTCCGCCAGCGGATCAGGCCCAAAGAAGTCGCATGTGGGAACTTGGTCGTCAACAGAGTTGAACTCCAGCGCCGTCATTGCTGCTGGCCCGATATTGAGGCGCTGGAGTTGCGTGGAGAGCAAGTCGAGCTGCTCACTAGTGGCTGCCGGGTCCGATGTAGTAGCGGTGACGTTGCGCGGGAAGAGGGGAATCCAGGCACGAGGAAGAATGCCTGCGTGCCACCAGCAGCGCTGAATTGTCTCAGGTTCAACATCATCCCAAGACTCAAACACCCACATGACCATCTGCCAAGATTTTGGCTTCACGGTCTGGCGGGTGCCGCTGCTCCCGCTGTCGTCCCACCGATGCAGCCAATCAGCAATCACCCGCTGCCGAAAGCGGGCTTTCACTGCACGGATCACGCCCTGGTCAAGGGGCTGCGTGAAAGCGGTGGTGTTCGGAGGGAGGTATACGATGCGCAAGTTGCTCAGTTTCACGGTGCGGAATCCCAGTATGTCTTCGCGCAAAGCGGTCGCCGAATCAACACGGTGGCTCGCTGCATTGTCCACGAGAAGAACCACCTGGCGGTCCTCAGCAAAGAAGGTTGCGTTGAGCGATTCCACAAAGGATGTGAAAATCTGCACATTGAAGAGAGTAAAGAAAATCAGACGCCACTAGTACTACTATGTAGTACTGCGCTATTGCACATCTAGGAACGCAGGGACGGAATAGAATTGTACACGTTTTCAAACTTGGACCGTGGAACTTGCCTCGCTAGTCATCCAGCCGCGCCGGTTGTAGCGCCAATAAACATACGGCTCGGGGTCAAAACCGGTCTCGCTGAAGTCTCGCGGACGACGCACTTTGGAAATAATCATTGGACGGAATGAGGACGAACCGTCCGCGTTGCACAGGAATGCGATGGTCACACGGTCTTTTGCAATTTTTCCGCCGACAGGAACCTCCAGCGCCCATGTCTTCCGTGGCTGACACGCCGGGAAAAGTGCTGTTTCGTCGAAGTTGAAAAGATCTTTCGGTGTCACACCAAGCAGCGAGATTAGCTCGGGAAGCCAGAGGCGGGCCCTTGTTACTGCCTCCATGTCTGCGTCTGCAGCTTCTCCCGCGCGAGTGAGGTTCCGGAAGCCCATACGGTGCATCGCACGGTGAACCCAGCTGATTGAGCAGCGGAAGCGGGAGTCAATGTTCAACTCCCGACGAAGCGCACGTGCTTTCTCCTGAATCAATTTCAGCGTCAGCGGAACGCCAGCCTCACATGCATTTCGAACCCAGCCGTGGAGTTCGCACTCGAGCTGGGGAAACTTGGGATGGCGAAGACGGTAGGTGCGGCCCTGGATTGTTGTCGCGGCGCGCCACTTCCTCTCGCCACGGAGGATTTTCCCAATGGTGCTGCGGTCAGGCAGGATTCTGAACCTCGTGTTGCACCAGCGTGACAAATCCTCGTGTCGAAGGTGGGGATTCAGCGCAAAGTGCTCACAGATGGCCCGTTTCGTGGCGAGTGGGATGCGAGAGCGCTTAGGGACTCGGGCCATGTTGTTTAGCCGGTGGTAGCGATTGGGTGTTATGGGTAACGAAAACCACGAATTGAACGCGCTGGATGAGTTCCTCTGGTCAACGCCGAAGTCTATTTCACCTGTGCCCCGCCACCTCACCTCCAAGGGGTACGACCTGTGTTACGTGGCACATGAAACCAGGATGATGTGGCACCCAAAATCGCACGGGCTTCGCAAGCTCGATTCGTCTCGAAACTTCACATTTCGCAAACCTTGTACACGTCGCACTAGTAATCTGACTCTGCCATTTGATTGGTTCAGCCACTGATTCGCTCTGAATCACAAGGATCAGATTCGTTACTGTACATTTTCAGCCACCCGCAAGGGGACTGTAGAGGAGGGGCTACACATAGGAATTATAGGAAAAAGCTCCTCTTTTTGAAAATGGGACTTTGTTAGCGCGGGCCTTTATAGCGGAACCATTTGTACACTGACTGTACGCCACTGTGAGCGAGCATCCTGGACCGCGGTGAGCTCGGTAGGGCGGCCACGAAAAAAACAGTTGCGGAAACCACTCCAACAGAAGCACGGTTATGGTAAGGCCCAATCAACACACGCCACGCTGGGAATGTGGCAGGTCCTGACCAGCGATTCGAATGCTGGCCTGCTCTGCTAAAACCTCTGTTCTCAGATGTGGCGCCACGTGAGATGACGATGGCACGACCCAATCGACGGATGGCAAACGATATGCTGAGGTTCACGGACGTCCCGGATGAGCCTTTGTTCCAAGAGCATAGCGAGATGGAAGCGGGAAACCCTTCATATTTCCCAGCCCTCGTTCCCTCCAAGCTCAAACCCTCTCTCAGAACCACCTTTTTCCCCCCCAAGCTCCTCAGCATCCCCGAGTCCAGCCAAATCCCCCTCACCCCTCCCCTACCTCTCCGCCCCACGCGGAAGTCCCTAGGTTTTCGTGCCTGTGGTTTGCGCTTTTGTGGTCATGGTGAGAGATCAGTGCCGCCACCAATTCCCTCTCTATCTTCCCCGTCCGCTGATTCTCCCTCCCCTCCCCATACCGCTGGTTTCATCCCTTCAGGTGCACCACACTTCCCATTCAGCCCCTTTTGAATCATTAGCCCCATTTTAACCCTAACACACAACTTAGAGCTCTAGCCAGGTTAGCCGATTTATACGCTCGTGACAGGCAGTGCCTTAAAGAATGGCGTCGACTATAGGAAGTCGTTCCGTTAGACCAGCTGTTAATATTCCTCACACGAAGTCTACATTGAGGAGAACTGTTTCAGAAGTGCGTATGGGGTCAGAGGGTCCTTGTTATTAGTTTTTAGTCCTGTTGAAGCATCAGTGTAACTAACTCGTGGTTTTTAATGTCTGAATTCAGTCCCCTGGCAGTTGTCTTCCTTCTGGTGGATTAAGCCGGTTTTGCGGTTCTAAGCTTAAGTCGCCTTCCACGCAAGCATCAAAACAACGGTCGTCGGGTCCGTTCTGCTGTTTCGGTAGGTTCATGCTCCCGTCTCGGCGATTGCCTAGAGTAGTTCGTTCTAACCATGAGCAAAGCCGGTGCCGCTTTGGTGTCGACTTAATGGTCACATAGCTAGTCCTTTAGCCCGTTCTAGTTGCGGCGTTCAATATTGTTTGACGTTGTGTAATTTCCATTGTATTTCTCGTGCAGCTAATGCCTCATGGATGGAAGACGACTTCGTGCCTCAACCTTCTTTCGCACACCGATTGTCGAGAGCATGGCAAGTCGTGTTCCCTACGCGAAGGAAGGGACCAAGGTAATTAATAACCGTTGTGACTCTTTTCTTTTAAGGGTAATTCGCTCCGTTCGTTCTCTCACCATCCGTCTTGTGTTATGCCATGCAGTGTTGCGGAGGTGGCAAAGGAGAGATTGCGTTTAGTTCTCTACAGCGACCGCGAGGAATTCCATCCTAGGTTAAAGAAGAAGCTGTGCGGAGACATCGTGACCGCCATGGGCGATTTCTTGGACGTCGCTGTGGAGGACGAAGATGACGTGATTTTCAGAGTCACAAGGGACCCGGTGGTGGGGTCGATTTACAACGTCAGCGTGCCGGTGAAACGGGTGAAGCCAGCTCTTCAAAAGGCATCATAATGGAACGATACCGCACTGGAAAAGCGGGATTTATGTTTTAACAGCAGTTTTCTGCAGTGGATGCGTGTGTCTTCTTGGCATGTTAGGAATACCTAGCCTCCAAGACGAACACACTTAGCCACTCTTTCTGTTTTGAGCTTTTTGAAACTGACACCTGACAGGCTGTACAAACTTATTAGCACTTGTACCCGGATGGACATATGGTACATATACGAATCTGAGGCATTGAAGACGTGTAGCAATGTGGCATGCGTGTCCAGAGGTTCATAGTGCAAGTGTAGATGTTGCTGAGTCTGCTCTGCATGTGTGGTGTGGAGGAGTGGACCCCCCCTTCAGGATCAACCCCCACAGAGTAATTACGGTAGACATAAGTGTTGGGCTGAGATAGCCCCTTAGGATCTTTGCAAGGGATAACTCTAGGTGAAGTAGTTGTAATAGCGGAAGCGTTTAGTGAAGAATTTGAACCGACCTTGCATTGGTGTGTGAGAGCAAAGTTGATTGAATTAAACAAGCAAATACAAGGATTTATATAAGAGTACAGGGAATAGATAGATAACTGTATTGCTGTTGCGGTTCGATATAGCGCGACTCGGGCAACTGCTCTGTAACGAGTCAGTTGTGTGTCCTTAACTGTCGCGCTGTAATTGTCGAGTCAAAGGTCAGCGACCTTTGACTTTCTCGTAACCTCCAGGCGGTTACCCTAACCTCCGAGGTTGACTCGATGCTTCGATTGGGACTGCTTCGCTTGGTACCTTGGATTTTGATACGACAGAAGCGCACTTAGGACTTATTGTTTCCAACACTCCCCTTCGCTTCTGGAGTGTTACTGCTGGTGACGTGGCCTTGTCCAGTCAGCATCATGCAGTATTCGAACTTCTGCTTGCCGAGTTTCTTGGTCAAGTAATCGGCTGCCATCTCGGATGTTGGACAGTATGACAGATCGAGTTTCCCTTTTCCTATCTCGTCCTTCACGAAGAAATAGCGCAGGGCGATGTGTTTCGTCCTGTTTGCGAAGCCGTTTTTGTTGGCGATGCGAATTGCTGACTGGTTGTCGCAGAACACGGTGAAGCTGGGTAACTCGGCTAGCTTCGCTTCTTCCAGTAGTTCGCGAAGGTAAAGTCCCTCCTTGGTGGCTGAGCAGAGTGCAATATATTCTGCTTCTGCTGAAGATAGTGCGATTAACTCCTGCTTGCTCGACTGCCAGGAGATAGGACCGATAGGCTCAAGGCGGTAGACATAGCCGGTGCGTGAGCGCCTGTTGTCGGTGTCGCCGGCGTGATCGGCGTCGACGTAGCCGATTAGCTTAGTCGGTGTAGCTGCGCTCTTGTGGTAGGTTAGCCCGATCGTCGCGGTGCTGACGAAGTAGTGGAGAGCGCGATCAAGTTCCGCCAGGTGTTCAGCTTCAGGCTTCTTGAGATAGGTGGCGAGCTGACTTGCGGAGTAGGATAAGTCAGGACGGCAGGTGACGGCGGCGAATAGCAGGCATCCGAGCTTCTTCTGATAGTCGCGTATGCCGGCGGGCTTGAGTAGAGTAGTTCGTTCCTTCTCGGTTCCTGATGTGTAGCGGTAGGGCGTGGAGATGACGCTTGGTGTGAGGCTGAAGCGTTTCGCGATGGTGTCGGCGTATTTCTCGGCGCTTAGATAGATGGCGTTTTCTTCTTCGCGGATGTTGAGCCCGAGGTACTGTGTAACGGTGGAGGAGACCGTGAGCGTGAGGTCTTTCTGGAGCTCTCCTTCGAACCACGTGGCGATGCCGTCGGTTGACCCAATGTAGAGGAGATCGTCCACGTAGACGATCAGGAGAACGTAGTCGCTTCCCTTAGTGAGGCGGTACATGCCTTGGTCGTGAGGTAGTTGACTAAAGCCGATGCGGATGAGACGGGCGTGCAGGTACTGCTGCCACAGTCGCGGTGCCTGCTTGATCCCGTAGAGCGACTTAAGTAGTTGACAGATTCGGTTGGGTTCGCCGTGGGAACCGTGCGGGAGCTCGACGTAGATTTCTGCATCCACAGGTGCGTAGAGGAAGGCATTCGCGACGTCGATCTGCCGTAACTTCTTCTTCTTCATGGCGGCAATGGCGAGGAGAATTCGGAGTGACGTGTGGCGGCTGACTGGAGCAAAGGTCTCGGTGAAGTCTCGTCCTTGCTCTTGGTCGAATCCACGTACGACCCAGCGTGCTTTGAATTTTTCGATCGTGCCGTCTGCTTTCGTCTTGATGCGGAAGACCCATTTCCCGGTAAGGATGGTTTTGTTCCGTGCCACGCTTACGGGAACAACCTTCCAAGTGTTGCGTTCCTCTAATGCCTTCAGTTCTCTATCCATGGCTTCACGCCATTTCTCCCTGTGTTCCCCCCCCAGAGCCTGCTGAACCGTTGCAGGCTCCTTAGGAAGCGAGCTGCGTGTGTTCCCGTGGACTGCGGTGACGAGGCCGAGGATTTGCAGCCCAGTCTGTGAGTATCGAGGGAGTTCTGGATCCTCGGGATAAGCTGCTTCGTCTCCCGTTTCTGGGTCGGGCATGAAATTTGGCCCTACCCTTTCTGCTTCGTTGGTGTTGACTGTCACAGGTGTTACGTAACCATCGTCGGCGAAACGGTAGAAGATTTCGGCGTTGTTACTGTCGCGAGGATTATCCTCATCCATGGGCACGTCGACGGAGCAGTATGGGAGAGGTCCGGCTTCTTCTGAGGCGTTGTCGACGTTCTGTTCATCCCAGTCTGCTTCGTCCGCTGCTGACGCGAAGGCTCGGTCACCACGAAAACCACTGGTGAGGTCCCGATTCTCGTGCAAGTTGGCGAGGTACGTCTGAAGGGTGAGTCTTTCGTAGAAGATCACGTCACGTGCTGCTACTGTTTCCTTTGTGTGGACGTCGAAGATTTTCCATGCGTTGTAATTTTTCTCGATGCCGAGGTGTAGTCCCCACTGTGCCCGTTGCGAAAATCTTCCCGCTCGTGCTTCTGGGGGTCTGTACTGTACCATGCACCCGAAAACTCGTAACATTTTCGTGCTGCCCTGCTTCCCTGTCCACAGCAGATGCGGTGATGCGTTGTTCGGGAGTGACGACGACGACAACAAGTTGTGTAGCATGACAGCGTGGTCCATTGCTGCTGGCCACTGGTGGTTGGGTAGCCGCATGCCACGTAATAGTTTGCGCATGCTGTTCTGCAGGGTCCTGTTCAGTCGTTCTGCAACACCTTGCTGCTGATGTGCGTAGGGAAGGGAGAGGAGTTGCTTGATCCCCCTTTCCGCCAAGAACTGCTTGAAGCGGTGAGAGGTGTACTCGCCACCTCCGTCTGACTGGAAATTTTTCAGTTGTGTTCCAGACTCTCTCTCTGCTATCGGTAGCCAGGCGGCGAATGCTGCGAGCGCCATGTCGCGGCTGGGTAGGTTGCGATGCCAGACGTATCGAGTGGCGGCGTCGATGAAGGTGATGGTGTAGTTGTAGTTGACTTGTCCTGGCTCGCGATTGTAGAGGATGTCGCTGTAGACTTTTTCGAGTGGTGCGTACGCTGGAGCGCTCGGGTTGTGATGTGAAGCAAACGGTCGATGAGGTAAGTCAGCTTCGGGACATATAAGGCAAGTCCCTCGTGCCTTCTGGAGTTCTCTGCCATCGGGTAGAAGTAGAGAATCTTTGTCAAGGACTCCTGCTCTTATCGTGTTATTCAAAACCGTGTTGCTTGGATGTCCTGTTCGTGCGTGCCAGATCTCTTCAGAGGCGCGGTGTCCAGGTGAACGCTGATATGCGTCGGAGTTGGAGTAAAAGCTGGCGACGAGGTTGGCGCTTCGGTGGACTTCACGTTGAGTCGGATTCAGCTGTTTCGCGGGTGTTGGTGGTGCTTCGTCGACTGTGACTGGTGTCGTTGTTCCTGCTGCTGCTGATGTTGTTGCTGCTGCCGATGTTGTTGCTGCTGGCGATGTTGTTACTGGTGCTGATGTTGTTGCTGCTGCTGATGTTGTTACTGCTGCCGATTGTCGAATTGTTGCTAATGCTCGTGTTCGTTCTGCTTCAGGAATGGTGTGCGAGTACCAGAAGCCTCCTGGGCTGAAGTCGGGGTCGAGATCCGGAGGGTGTGTCCAGTCAGTGAAATTCACGATGGCGTCGCTGTCTGCAGTGCCCAGGTCAGGAACGAAGTCGAGGACGAAGACGTTGTTCTTCAGCACTGCTTTCCCGATGTAGAGACCGCCTCTCCCGTGGTAAAGTTTGAACTCCTGGGTCGTGCTGTCGGCTTCCAGATGAATTCCTTTCGCCATCAACTGGCTAACGCTCAGTAAGTTGTAGCCGAGTCCTTCAGCGATGAGTACCTTAGACATGTGCAGTATGACATTTGTTTCTCTTGACTGAAGCTGTACCACTCCTTGTCTTCGTGTGCGCAGGTTTTGGTTGTTGGCAACCGTGATGATCACTTCCCGTTGGAGTCGATGTTCGCGTTGTACGAAACGCCCGGACGAGCACATGTGTTGCCCGCAGCAACTGTCCAAGAACCAGGTGTCTTGGCCGGACGGTTCACTTTGAGCGATGGCGGCGTACGTTGGATTCGGCTGGAGTAGCTCACGGCGAGGCGTTCTGTTGTCAAGCTCTTCTTCCGGTGAGTAGTGTGGTGGTGATTCGGTTGTACATGAATCGGTTATCTTCGTCATGCAGTTGATTATATTTCTTGCTCCTTGTGCAGGTTGTCCGGGTGAAGTCGTTGAAGCTTGAATAGTGGTCGTCGCACTTGCTTGTGTTGAAGCCATTTGGGAGCTTGAAGGTCGAAGTTGTCGCTGTGGTGCCGTTGATTGCTGACGATTCGGGCAGTGTGTGCGCGGGTGCCCTGAAGTCTTGCAGATGTGGCAGAAGGGAGGTACTATCTTCGGTTGCTGCTGTCGGTTGTTATAATTGCTGTGTCGTCGTTGAGTGTGGAATGCGAACTCTGATACTGACGTTTTCTTCCTGTGTCGTTCTTCCTGCAGGTCCATATCTTGCTGCTCGGCATGTATTTCGGCGCAGAGTGCAGCTTCAGAGATTCTTCCGTGGGCTCGAAGAATGGCTTTGGTGGCGCGCCACTGAGGACCAAGCCCACCAATGATGACTGTCACGAAGGCGTCTTCAGAGATTGACCCTCCGCATCGAAGCAGCTTGTCGCGCAGTTCGCGACATCGGCTGATATACGCCAGTCCTTTTTCTCCTGGTTTCATTTCGACTGTCGTCAACTGCGCCATTAACCTGCTCTGGTTTACACTGTCTGTTGCTTGATACAGGTTCTTCAGATGGCTGTACGCGAGCTCCGCCGAGTTGCCGAAGGTCCGGTAAGAGCGAATGTTCTGCTGCTGAGTTGGTGTCACGTTCCTCAATAGGATTGTATACGCCATCATTGATTGATACGTATACTGCTGCTTTTCATATTGTGTCCCGTTGGCTGGATACTGCAGGGACCCGTCGAAGAAGCCGAGTATCTGCGCGCCCTCCATCATCAGCTCGAATTCAAAGGACCAGGTAAAGAAGTCTTTGCCGTCGAAGGGTCTTGACGTTTGCAGTTTTAAGACGTGTGCAAACTGCGACTGAACTTGAAGTGCGTCCAGTGGTCTTTCTTGTCCAGGTGAAGGTTGCGGGTGGGGCACGAAGCTGATTGACCCGCGCTCGTACGGAGCAAAGGTAGGTTGCTGCTGCTGGTTTCCTCGCGCATATGACGACCCATCAAGACTCATGGGTGTCGCTCCGTTGTTGCTGTTGTGTGTTTGTGCAGGTCCCGACTGCTGGTGTTGTTCGTAGAAGGACATGAAGGAGAAAAATTTCTCCATCATGTTCTGGTCAAAGTCCGAAGGGTGGTTCATGGGGGTCTCGGTTGACGTTCCTCTTGGTCTTGTTGCCGTGCCTTCTTCTGTCTGCAGGCCAGAGGCTGGCGGTGGAGTAGGAGTAGTGCCCGAGGAGCCATTAGGGGAGCTCCTTTCCTTGTTTGTTGCCATGTCTTGTAATGATATTGAAAAAGGAGTAGAGTTTCCCTTGTCTGCTCTCATACCATGTTGGGCTGAGATAGCCCCTTAGGATCTTTGCAAGGGATAACTCTAGGTGAAGTAGTTGTAATAGCGGAAGCGTTTAGTGAAGAATTTGAACCGACCTTGCACTGGTGTGTGAGAGCAAAGTTGATTGAATTAAACAAGCAAATACAAGGATTTATATAAGAGTACAGGGAATAGATAGATAACTGTATTGCTGTTGCGGTTCGATATAGCGCGACTCGGGCAACTGCTCTGTAACGAGTCAGTTGTGTGTCCTTAACTGTCGCGCTGTAATTGTCGAGTCAAAGGTCAGCGACCTTTGACTTTCTCATAACCTCCAGGCGGTTACCCTAACCTCCGAGGTTGACTCGATGCTTCGATTGGGACTGCTTCGCTTGGTACCTTGGATTTTGATACGACAGAAGCGCACTTAGGACTTATTGTTTCCAACAATAAGGACGTATGCCTCAGTAATGGATGAAACAGTCTGATGGTAGTGTTCTGATCAGAATCTAATCTTTGGATTGGAAGCCACGTCAACATAATGAGTAAACGGTGACAGGGTGTCGAATTGAACGCACGGCTGCTGATCATTCTCACCCACGACACAGGCTCAAAACATCCTAAGACTGAGGGGACAAGGTTGTGGCCTGCGAAGAGGCGTGTGTGGCGAGCACACGCTGCACCTCCTCTTCTGACACTCCCACGCCCTTGAACGCTGCTACAGCCGCCTCGAGAGACGATTCCCATCCCGCATCTGACAGCTTGAACTGATCCATTGTCACCATGCACCACACACGACGGCCAGAATGAGGCATGGGAAGTGAAGAGGGGAGGAAGGGAAAGAGGGGGAGAGGAGAGTGAGGGGGGGAGGGAGGAGGGAGGGGGGAAGGGGAAGGAGGTGAGAGGATGAGGTCCAACTTACGCCATTCTTAAGAAAACAGATTGATGGAAGGAACGGAGCAAGATACTTCAACTGCCCGGCCTCACCTGGACCTGCGACTTGTCAAACATGCAATTGGCCAGCTGGAGGTTCACGTTCTGCCGGAACGCCGCCACGTCAGCAAGGAATGCATCCGGATCTCCTGCATGGTCATGCCCGTGGTCATGACTACATCCAGGCCCATGCTTGTGCGCGTGCTCATGCCCATGGTCATGATTGCATCCAGGGCCGTGCTTGTGCCCTGGGTGGCCATGCTTGGCAGCAGGGTCCTCTTTAGAAAGGTCCCCTTCCTCCTCTGATTCTCCTGCTGTTGCTGCCTCGTGCTGCTTCAAATGGTCCTGCTCGATCGTGTCACATGCCTGTCACAGGAAGAGGCAGGAGAAAGGCGCAGATAAGCGACCAAAGGTTATTGAAGCCATTGAAATATGCTGCCGCTGCCTCATGCCCCTTCGAATGATCCTGCTCAACCGTGTCACATGCATGTCAGGAAAAGGGAAAGGATGGGGACAAGAAGCAAACGGGTGAGAACAGAGTCAGCTCTGAATTCATTGCGTCACATGCCTGTCAGAGAAGCGCAGTCAAACGACCTGCCATACACTCCTGCTCGTCCCCGTTGACGGCCCTAAATCTACTGTCACGACAACTGTTTTCTCCTTAGCTAAACTTTCTCCTTCACTGCTGCTCGCTGGAATATGTCCAACGACATGCCCTGCCAGCGAAGCGCAGGCAGTCAAACGACCTGGCATACTCCAGCTCGTCTTCACGATCGGTGACTTCTAAGTTGAAAAGACACTAGATTTACTGTCACATGTCTAACAGAGAAAGGGGACGAGTGCGGGCAACAAAAGGTGCACCAGAAAATGGAAGCTCAATCCTGCTTCAACGAGATAGCTCCGGATCAAATTGCAGTCAAACAAACTGCCGCATAGCTAGGAGAGAGGACACACACACACACACACACACACACACACAGAGATTATCACAGCAAGAAAAAACAGCATAGAATGGAGTTGGAGAGCAGAATGTACCTTCACAGCAGCGGTGAAACTCTCCTCTGCTTGAGCCAAACACTCCAGCACTCCTCTCATACGCTTCTTCCCCTCTCCCCCCCCTTCAGTCCTCTTCTCTCCCTCTCCCTTCTCCTGCTTCTCATTCTTCTCCCTGTTCTCTCCCTCGTCCCCCTCCCCGCCCTCCTCCCCTTCCAGCACGGCTAGAAACTCCTCTGCTCGCGCCATTTCCACAAAGCACTGCCCCAGCGCCAGCAGCGCCTGCCAGGATGATGTGTGGGGACGTAAGAGGGGAGAGGGAGGTTTCATTGCCAGAAACACTGTATCTGGAGAGCACCACCCCGACTGCACCCTGCACTGTTCGCCCTCCGCCCCTTCCAGCACTGCCAGGAACTCCTCTGCCAGCGCCATCTCCACAAAGCACTGCCCCAGCGCCAGCAGCGCCTGCCAGGGCGGGAAAAGGTGGGAGGGGAAGGAATGCAAGAGTGCAGGAGTGAGGTGCATCATAAAGAGTACATGTGTGCACAAAGTCTTATCTCCTCAAAAGACTGAGCGCCAGCAGCGCCTATCAGAATAGGGAGGGGTGGTGCTTTTGAGTCGACTCAAAAGCAGAATAGGGAGGGGTGGTGTGAGAATGAGTGCAAGAGTGCAAGTGTGAGGGCGCATCAGAGCGAGTACATGTGTGGGCGACGTCCCATCTTCTCATAGCACTGCCCCAGGGCCAGCAGCGCCTGTCAGGACAAGGCAGCAGAAGCAGCAAGCAGTGAAGGCACACCTCTAAGAAGCAGTAACGAAACTGGCCACGTCAGTCAAAGCAACCAGGTCAATCAGGTCAAGCAAGGCAATCAAATCGATCAAGTCCATCGAGTCAACCACTCACATCTGGCAGGTTCGGCTGCACCGTCAGAGCAGCCTCGTACTTCTCCCGAGCCTGCTCCAGCACCTCCCGAGCCGCCTCCACCTCCCCCAGCTTGGCTGCTCGCCGATCTGGATCCCCTCTTATCTCTCTCAACGCCTCTTTCTCCTTCTCCGCCCTCCCTTTGTCCGCCTCCATGCCTCCCTTGTCTGCTTCTGTTGCTACTTTCTCTGCTTCATCACCCTCCTTGCCTGATTCCACGCCCACTTCTGCGGCCGCAGCAGCGACAGCGGTGGTTTGGGTGGTTTGGGCAGTTTCCGGAGCAGGTTTGAGGCCGAGCCTGCGCCGAGCCATCCAGACATAGGTGTTGCCCCAGTTCAGATGCGCCACTGCTGCCTGCTCGTGGGGGAAAGAGGGGGAGCGAAGATGGGCAGAGAGAGATGGGGGAGGAGTGTGGTAAGGCCATTACACACGCTGCTATACACACTCTCACGCTGACTCTGTCACACATACACTCCGACACCACACACACACTCTCTCTCTCACACACACACACTCTCACACGCACTCACCATGCTCTGGAACTTGGCAGCTGCCTGCTGCAGCAACTCAGAAGCTTCCTCCGCCTCCACCGTCCCCTCCAGTGCCCTATTAACCGCTGCCACGTCAGCATCCGCCAGGTCAAAGCTGGCGAGAGAATCAATGCCCAGCCGCTCCCTAAATAGGTCGGCAAACTGGATTATCCACGAATCAACTAGTACCTCCTGTTGTGCCTCCCCCTCCTCCCCTTCTTCCCCTTCCTCCCCTTCTTCCCACTCCCCCTCCTCCTCTCCCTCCTCTTCTGCTTCTCCAACATTTTCCTCCTCTCCCTTCTCCTTCCCCTTACTTGCAGGCACCTCAATCTCCTCCTCTACCTCCTCCTCTTCTTCCACCTCCACCTCCTCCTCTCCTTCCTCCTCCACCTCCTCCCACTCCACCTCTTCCACGTCAGTATCGTCAGCTGGCACAGCTGGTGCCTGCGCCTGTTCTGATTGGCTGAGCGGCGTCACATGCAGCCGCAGCACAGTGCTAACAGCGATGCTGCTGACGCTGCTGCTGGTAGTGTTGGTGCTGCTAGTGATGGCTTCGGCGGGTGCTATGGTGGCGGCAGTGGCAGAAGCAGTGGTGGTGGCGGTGGTAGCAGCGGTTGCTGTGGTGCTGCGGCCATCACACGGCATATCACTACGAGCCTCCTTGGCAACTGATTCTGCGTCCTTCACCTGCACTGGCTCAAATGCCCCCTCATCATTCCCCTGCTTCAACTGATCCTTCCCTTTGATTTCCACTTCCGCTTTCGACTCAGCAGCAGCACTGGCAGCGACAGGAGGAGCTACCGCTGATTCCCTTTGCCTAAGGGAAGCAGCTTCGAGAGGCGCAGCACCCAGAGAGGCAGCGAGAGCAGCCTGCGCGTCTGCTGCCGCCACTGCAGCAGCAGCTGCTGCTGTGGCTGCTTCTCTTGCTGCTGCTGCCGCTGCTACCGCTGCCACTGCCACTGGTGATGATGCTCCTCCTCCTCCCGCTCCTCCTCCTCCTCCTGCTGCTGCTGCTCGGCCAATACTGAGAGCAATAGCAATGTCCTCCTTAGATGTCATTGTGATGAGGTCTCCCTGGGAGATTGGGTTGCGAGGATGAGCATTGCTGTGAGTGTGAAACTATGGAGAGGCAAGAAAGGGTGCTATGAGATACACCGAATTAGCGCAAACCATACCATACTTAACAGCATTTTCAGCCCCAGCCGTTCTCAACTCAGCATTACCCTCACCTCAGCATTACCCTCACCTCAGCGTCAGTGTAGTGAAGAAGCATGGGTTTGCCGTTCAGATGGGGGAAGCACGCGCCCACGATTCTGTGCAGCTGTTGGAACCTGCAGTCGGGTGGGGAGAGGAGAGGAGCGCAGGGCAAAGGGAACACACGCAAATGAAACCTGTGGTAGCGACTGGTGAGAGTTCACACAGACCCTGCAGAGCCAGGGAAGCAGGCGCCCACGATTCTGTGCACCTGCTGGAACCTGCAGTCGGGTGGGGAGGGGAGGTGAGGGGACACAGCAAAGAGGCACACACAGAGGATTTGAAACGTTTCGTTTTGAGCCGCCTCAAATCTAGGCACCCACGATTCTGTGCAGCTACTGGAACCTGCATTGGGGTGGGGAGGGGAGGCGAGGTTACAGAGCAAAGGGAATACACGCAGATAGGACATTTGGTAGCGACTGGGGAGAGTACAAACGGACTCTGCAGAGCCAGGGAGGGACAGTCCAACAGAACTGGGAAGCAGGCGCCCATGATTCTGTGCACCTGCTGGAACCTGCAGTCGGGTGGAAAGGTTAGGGGAGCGGAGAGCAAAGGGAGCACACGCTGATGAAACAACATATTGCAGCGATTGGTGGGAACTGACGCAGGGAATGTCCAGCAAAACGGGAAGCAGGCGCCCACGATTCTGTGCAGCTGCTGAAACATGATTGCTTGTGAACTCACCCGCACCCCACAGGCATCTGAGCCAGCCTCGTGTCTCTGCCCGTGGCCAGAGTCACTTTGACAATGTAACCACTCCTTACCCTGCAACCACTTGTAACTGCTCTACACCCTTCACTCCTTAACTCCACTCACCCGCAACCCACGGGCATCTGAGCCAGCCTCGTGTCTCTGCCCGTGGCCAGAGTCACTTTAACTCGCACCGTCGGCACTCGCCTCTCCTCCCTCCGCTTCCTCAACACCTTCTGCATCCTCTTCCTCACCACCTTCCTTCTCACTACCCTCTTCTCCTTCACCATCTCAACTCGCCCCTCCCCTCCTCCTCCCTTTCCTCCTCTTCCTCCCCTCTTTCCCCCTCCCTCCCCCTTTCTCCCACCCTTCGTCTTTCCGTCTCCATCCTTCCCCCCTGTCCCTGTCCCTGCCCCTGTCCCCGATCCCTCCCTTGCTTCCGCTGTTGCCTGCTGCTTTCTAGGAGGCAGCTTTTGAGTCGACTCAAAAGATCCCTCCCTTGCTTCCGCTGCTGCCTGCTGCTTTCTAGGAGGCAGCTGCGGCATGTGGCTCATCCCGCCGCCCAAACCAGCATCCGAACCAGCACCCGAACCTGAACCCGAGCCAGAAGCCGAATCAGAAGCCGGAGCAGCAGCCAACCCAGAAGCTGGAGCAGCAGGCGAATCAGCACCTAATCCCTCGGTGGAGGTTTCAAGAGCAGGAGAGAAAGACGAAACTTTGCTATCAGGGGAAGGCTTTACTGCTTCTGATTGGTTGGCAGTGGCAGTGATGGGAGCAGTGGGGATGGGAGCAGAGGCGGGTGGGGATGGTGTGGCAGAGGCAGCGGGAGCGGTGGGGATGGGTTGTGGGGTGGTGGAGAGGGATGGAGGTGTGGCGGTATCAGCAGCGGCAGAGGGAGGGACGGAGGAGGGCTGCTTGCTAGCAGGAGGAGCTTTCAGCTTCTGCAGCCGTTTCTTTATCTCCCATGCGTCCTGATTGGTGGGCTCCGCCTGTGGGAGGTGATGGGGATGGGGATAGTAATGGGGCGGGGGTGGGGATGCGGATCGGGATTGGGATGGGGATGTGAATGGGGATGGTCATTGGGGCGGGGAAGGGGATGGGGACGGGGGTGTGGACGGGGACGGGGACGGGGATGGGGATGGGGGTGGGATGGGGATGGGGATGGGAGTGGGAATGGGAATGGTAACGGTCATGAAAGATTGACCAGGAAGAATTACACATGCTATCGATCATGCACATTAGTCAGGAAAACAAACAGACTGTCCGATTCTGGACTGCGGCCGTCAGAAAGCGGCTATACCGTTCAGAATGCATGCATGCATATACCTCACATTGTCGTCATTAGTGTCCACGTCAGCTTCTGCTGTATCCTCAACTTGATGATAGTGTCCACGTCAGCTGCTGCCGTATACTCACCTTTATAATCGCGTCCACGTCAGCCTCGGCCTTGTCCTTCTCCCCCAGTGCGTCCAGCGCCTTGGCCTTACCGCTCGCTCCCATACTTGAACTACCAATCCTCACCTTTAAAATCGCATCCACGTCAGCCTCGGCCTTATCCTTCTCGCCCAGCGCGTCCAGCGCCTTGGCGCGGCGCAGCAGCGCACGGCAGAAGCCCGGGTTGAGAGCGAGGCTGGCGTCACACTCCGCCCTCACGCCCTCGTAATCCACCGGCCGCATCTGCAGCAGACAGGCCGCTCGGTTGCTGGGGAGAGGGGCAGGAGGGGTCGACGGGCGACAGGAGGGGTCGAGGGGTGGCAGGGCAGGGGAGGGGGGAGGGCCAGGAGGGGGCGGAGGGGAGAAGAAAAAGCGTTCCGAACTTGCATGGTATCCTTGTACTACCATGCACTTACGCGGTGTAATTTGATGTACTTTCCAACGGCTGTGTTCTAGCTGCAGCACAGCTGCGCACAACAACCGTGTCACATCACATGGTTACAATACAATGTGCTCTCCCATGCGCGTTGTATATCATTCTCAAACCTCACCTGTGCAGAACCGCCCTGTCTGCATGACCAGTGGGCAGCGGCTTGACAGCCTTGTCATATCGCTTCATGACTGCTGCACACTCGCGTGCCTGATACTGCCTCTCACTCTCAACTCACCTTTGCACAACACGGCACATATCAACCACACCTGTGCACTCTATATTCAGTATGCACCTGTGCACTCTATATTCAGTATGCACCTGTGCACTCTATATTCAGTATGCACCTGTGCACTCTATATTCAGTATGCACCTGTGCACTCTATATTCAGTATGCACCTGTGCACTCTATATTCAGTATGCACCTGTGCACTCTATATTCAGTATGCACCTGTGCACTCTATATTCAGTATGCACCTGTGCACTCTATATTCAGTATGCACCTGTGCACTCTATATTCAGTATGCACCTGTGCACTCTATATTCAGTATGCACCTGTGCACTCTATATTCAGTATGCACCTGTGCACTCTATATTCAGTATGCAGCTGTGCACTCTATATTCAGTATGCACCTGTGCACTCTATATTCAGTATGCACCTGTGCACTCTATATTCAGTATGCACCTTGCACTCTATATTCAGTATGCACCTGTGCACTCTATATTCAGTATGCACCTGTGCACTCTATATTCAGTATGCACCTGTGCACTCTATATTCAGTATGCACCTGGGCACTCTATATTCAGTATGCACCTGTGCACTCTATATTCAGTATGCACCTGTGCACTCTATATTCAGTATGCACCTGTGCACTCTATATTCAGTATGCACCTGTGCACTCTATATTCAGTATGCACCTGTGCACTCTATATTCAGTATGCACCTGTGCACAATGCCTCTGTCCGCATGAGTGGCGGGCAGCAGCTTGATGGCCTTGCCGTATCGCTCCATGGCTGCTGCATATTCCCGTGCCTGGAAATGCTGGTTGCCCTCCGCCTTGAGCTCCATGGCCCGCGCATGAAACACCTGCCAGAGGGGAGAAAACACAGGGTTGCAATGGAGGTTAAGACAGGCCCGGCTGGAGCCAGGATTGATCCTGTGTCACAGCTCGCTGTGCCGCTCGCGCCTGCAGTTGCTGTGCTGGTTGCCCCCCGCCTTGAGCTCCATGGCCCGCGCATGGAACACCTGTCAGGGAGAGAGGACACAGGGTTTCAGTGGCGGTTCAGACACACGCTTAGTGGCCTGTGCTACAGCTCCTTGATGCGCGCCCGGCAGGTTTTGAGGCACGTGCGTTCCATTATTAGCTAATAATCTATTCCACACATGTCCCCTCAGCTGTTGACGCTCTCTCGCGGAAAACCTGCTGTTGTGAACGCTGGTGTGGCTGCAAGCGAAGGTTGAGGCGTGTCAACGACTACTGGGGGAAGGCTTTTGGGACACCGCATAGCTGATAAATAATCAGTCACAGCCACCCTTCACATCCAGGGCCACCCATTCCTCCCCCCTTCCCCTCCTCCCCACCGCTCGCCCCCGCTTTCTCCAGAGGGCACGCAGGGAGAACATGCAGGATTAAGAGTTTTGATGGCTGCGACGAGGTTCAGGGTTGAGGGCTTTGAGACACTGCTGGAACGGTCATCGGAAACTGAGTTCTGAAAACGTCTCATAGCTAAAAAAGACATCGGGCGGGACGTCAGATGCTGTGAGGCTTCCGTAGCGAGAGGGAGCGACGGATATTGGGAGAACTGTCTATTGTTAAGGCCTTGTCGGTGACTCACATCCTCGTCGGCGTCAGCAGCCTTAGCAGACGCCTTGGAAGCAGATACTGCAGCTTTCGCTGACGGCACTGCATTCGACGCCGCATTCGACGCCGCATTTGCCGCCTTTTTGGCGGAAATGCCATCGGCAGAAGCAGCAGCGGCCCCGCCACCAACGGACGACCCTCCGTCGGTCCCTGGCGAAGCAACCGGAACGGTTTTGTTTGCGGAAGATGCGGCGGATTTTGCGGCAGCCGAGGAAGGGGTGGTTGACGGAATGGATGTTGTTGAAGGTCCATTCCGGGTGTCAGATGCTGTTGCCGCCGCTCCTGACGCTGCTGCTTCTCCTGCTGATGCTTCTGTTGCTGCTGCCGTTGCCAACGCGGCCGTTGCTGATGCTGCAGTTGATTCGGGTGCTTTCCCTCCTCCACCTCCCTGCGGCCCTCCTTTGCTCTTCTTCTTCCTCCCTCCCTTACCACCGGCCATGATGTCCTGACACGCAACAACACACCCTCCGCTCAGCAATGGCAGAGCAAATTAAGAAGCTTACGTAGACCAAACCTGGACAGGCCCTCCCTCAAGCTGGTACCAATGGCGGCGGCAATTCTATCTGCACAGCCGTTTGGTTTGGCAAGGGATCAACATCAGACAGGTTTGGATGGGGCTGGGCTGGTTTTGGCTGGTTTCCCTTGAAAGGGAGATGTCCAGCTGATGCTACCGTTGGGCTTGGCGCGAAATGGAAAATGGATAAAGTCGGCTCGGATGCTTTGAGAATGTCGCTGAAAAGCCTGGCGACAGTTGCTGTAGCGTGTGGCGAACAACGCGATAGTGGAAAATCTTTTGGCGATAGCGGCATTTAACTCGGGGCACCATAACTCTAACCCCCAGTTCTTCGCTTGCGGATGCCAGGTCATCTCTTAGGAGTGCAATTGAGTGAGAGCTAAAATTGCACTATCTAAGCAAGAGTACAATGAGAAGGCACGAGCGAAGAATATTTAGCGAAACTAGAGTGGTAACGGTAATGGACTGTGGTTGTCGCGCGACGGGCCTGGGACTGAGGTTTGGGGAAATGTCGAAGCGGAGGCCCGGAGAGCGGGTTACCCGCCGAGCCGTGAGGTAGGGGTGCGACGTGCGAAGGTGGCGGGAGGATTGTCGATGCGACGGTTGCGAGTGGTAACGGTGCTGACTGTGGTGTTATGTACGCACTGAGCGGGGACACGAAGTAAGGAAAAGGAATTTTCCTTACACTACCCTCCCCCTAAGGAGGTCCTCCTTACGAAAGCGCGTGTACATCCCTGAAGTTTCGGCTGCGCAGATACTCTGTGAGGACGGGGTGGTTTTCGACTCTGTCCAAGGGAACCCAGTTGTCTTCGGTGGGTGTATGGTCTTTCCAGCGAATCAGGAACTCGATCCTTCGGGCTCCTCGAGGGTCACGAACTCTATGGCTCAGAATTTTATCGAGTGTGATGATTGGTTCAGTCGGCGGTCGTGTCATGCTGGCCGGGCGATTACGTGGCCGTTGGCTAGTGGACGGTATGTAGGGGCGAAGTAGGCTGACGTGGAAGGACGGGGTGACGTACCAGTCAGCGGGGAGGAGAAGATGGGCGGTGACGGGCGTAATCATGTGGCTAATGCGGAATGGTCCACAGTATCGGGGGCGAAGTTTTGGGGAGATAGGCAGGCGGAGATTCTGGGTGTCAAGTAAAACTAGGTCGTCGGGCTGGTAAGTAATAGGTCGGCGGTGGCGGTCGGCGTTATGTTTAGCGATGATGTTCGATTTTTTTATTGCGTCTGCAGCCCGGGTCCGTGCTGCTTGTAAAATTTCGGCGAACTGTTGTGCTCGGGGCACCGAGTTGTCGGGATTCAGGGTCATGGGTACTGTCGGGTCTTGTCCGTAGTTCAGGTAAAACGGCGACTGTTGGGTTGTGGCGGAGGGTGAGTTATTGTACGCGAATTCAATGAGCGGCAGTTGCTGTTCCCAAGTGGTTGGGTCGTCCCACGTGGCCCGAATGAGTTGTTCCATTGTCTAATTTGTCCTCTCTGTCTGTCCGTCGGTCTCGGGATGGTATGAGGAACTGAACTGTAGTCGCGTGCCGAATTGTTGCCACAGGTTCCGCCAGAAGTTGCTAGTGAATTTTGTGTCTCGGCCGCTGATGATCGTTGCTGGTATCCTGTGCAGTCGAACGACGGTGGAGATGAAGAGGCGTGCTGTTTCTTCGGCTGTGATTGATTTGTTGCAGACTGCGAAGTGTGCCATTTTCGTCAGTTGATCGACGACGACTAGGATCGCGTCGTTCCCACTTGCCCCAGCCGGTAACCCCGTGACGAAATCCATCGTCACCTGCTGCGAAGCACGCTCTGGGGGTGGTATCGGCTGCAACTGTCCTGCCGGCCGCTTCTGCGATGATTTCATGAGCTGGCAAGTGGGACACAATGCCACGTGTCGTTGTACGTCGGTCAACATCTCGGGCCAGTAATAATACCGCTGCAGCTGCTGCCGTGTTTTCTCTACCCCGAAATGCCCTGAGGTAACTCCGTCGTGTGCCTCCTGTAACAATAACTCCCGTAGCAGTGTGTATCCTTGTACCTAGATGCGGTCGGTCCCGGCTTTTACATGATAGACTCCCTTTGCTGCTGCGAACTGCTGCGAATTTCCTCCTGTGAAGAATGGATCCGTTTGGTACCCGTGGGTAAATAGGCATGTCAGTAGTGGGCTAGTCTGGGCGAGTAGTATTGCGTGGATCTGGGCAGTGGGGCGGGTCAGAGCTTCAGCGATGTTCGATGCCCCCTTTTTGTAGGTGACTGTGTACTGGAAATTTGACTCGAGGAAATCGAGCCAGCGAATCTGTCGTGGGTTGAGGTGTGGCTGTGCGCGGAGGTACTGTAGTGATTTATGGTCTGTCCGTACTATCACGTCTGCGCCGGTCAAGTAACAGCGCCACACCTTGAACGCGTGCACGATCGCAAGCATTTCGCGGTCGTGTATCGGGTAATTTTTCTCGGGCGGATGCAGTTTTCGTGACTCGTATGCGATGGGTTGTAGGCCGTTGCCGAAGTCCTGTAGCAGTACGGCTCCGATGACGATGTCGCTTGCGTCGGTAACTACTTCGAATGGGCGGTGTGGGTCGGCGATGCGTAGGACGGGCGGTGAACAGAGAACATTTTTCAGTGCAGAGAAGTGTCAGAATGTTATAATTATCTAGCCTGTAGTGGGGTGCTCTATAGCGAGTACAACCCTGTTAGGATTTGCTATATGTATCCCAACTGCTGCTAGTGAAACCCTCCCTTCTTCATTCCTCATTTCTTCACATGCTATCAGAGCATCTACGGTCCTGGCCTGTGGGCCCACCCAACTGCTTCCGCTGCTACTCTGTGTACTCTGCACGCCCCGTGGCGTGCCACTCGCGCTACTCTTCGCGGCCCCGTCGCCGCCCTTCTAGGCCCCTCGCGGCCCCTTCGCGGCCCCGTCGCCGCCCTTCTAGGCCCCTCGCGGCCCCTTCGCGGCCCCGTCGCCGCCCTTCGCGGCCACGTCGCCGCCCTTCACGGCCCCGTCGCCGCCCCTAGCGGCCCCGTTGCCGCCCTTCGCGGCCACGTCGCCGCCCTTCGCGGCCCCGTCGCCGCCCCTAGTGGCCCCGTCGCCGCTCTTCACGGCCCCGTCGCCGCCTCTACCGGCCCCGTCGCCACCTCTACCGGCCCCCTCGCCGCCCTTCCACGCCCCTCGCGGCTCCTTCGCGGCCCCGTCGCAGCCCCCAGCGGCCCCTTCGCCGCCACTTGCGGCCCCGTCGCCGCCCCTTTCGGCCCTTCCTCGACCCTGTCCAGGCCCCGCCCCGGCCATGCTTCATCGCCTGGCGCGGCGCACCGGGGGCACGTGCACCGCCCCCCCCCCTTTTCCCGTCGCCCGTCGCTAGGGGGTGGGGTGTGAGTGAACCTAGGGTGCAACAGGGTGTGTGTGAAAGGGGGGTGCTTTGGGAGTAGAACTAGGGTTTGAGCCGGGGGTGTGTGTCGAGGGTGTGGGGCAGCTGGAGGAGGTTGTGTGGAGGTAGCTGTCGTGTCGCCTGCAGCGCCTGTAGTCCGTCGCCCTTGCTTCGGTAGCCAGTGAGCCTGTTGCACCAGTCGCCAGTGGGTCCGTTGCTCCTGCCGCTCGTCTATAGCCGCGGAGCCAGTTACTCCAGTAGTCCGTCGCCCTTGCTTCGGTAGCCACTGATTCAGCCGCTCCTGTGCCCGTGCCTCTGCAGCTTCAGTCGTTGCCTCCCATCTTCTCTCCCTCCACAGTTCCTCCTCCTCCTCACTTGCCCGCTGTAATTAACTCTAGGGTCATGTCAATTAACAACCGTGCCATGTCGGGGACGAACCTACGCACGTAATTGACGAACCCCAAAAGCTCTGTAGTCCCGTGATATTCGTCGGGGGGTGCCAGGCTTTCACCGTGTCTAACTTCTTGGGGTCAATTTCGACCCCAACCTCCGAAATAACGTGCCCCAAAAACTCTAGCCGGTCCTGAAAAAACTCGCACTTGGAACCTTTTGTCAGGAGCCGATGCTCGTCTAAAATCTTAAACACTGCTTCCAGATCTGCTAAGTGCTGCTTCTTATCGCGACTGTAGACTAGGATGTCGTCGAGGTAAACTATCACGCATTTATCTAAAAGTGGCCTAAACGCCTCGTTCATGGTCATCTGAAATGTCGCTGGTG